AACTAATATTTTATATCCTTGATGCCGAAATCGCGAATCATTATTTATTGTATTTTGCTTTCATCACCACATGTTTATCAACGGATGACAACTTGAGTGATGAATCAAGCAGCGACGCCAAATAACAGAGTATTATCCGATTACAGATTTAAGTTTAATGCGCTAAAATGTTGACAAGGGGAGATTTAGCAGAAATTTCTTTCCTTATGCTAAAAATAGATTTTGTTAATGATACTCATAGGACAAACGATTATATTTAGTGCTATTTGAATTAAGAATAACTAATTTGTTATTCACATAAAGCCAGAACCAGCGCCAGATCTCGCATGGCCGCACCAGGCGGCAGAATTTAGCGAAGTTAAACAGAAGTTTTTCATTGCGATGACAATGCCCAATCATCAATCAATTAACGGAGGGCGAAATCTGTAGTATGGTTCTAAATCCAGAAAATACAGCTACCGATAGTGAAGAAAGTAACAGAGAGGTTACTGAACGAGAAAAAATTTTGATTGACAAGTTATTCGGAATTCTCGACACAGCAATTACAGTACTTTGGAACTTAATAACTGAACAAGAAATTATATGTCTATAGTATTAGTCTAAAATATTAGCAGAGAAAACAAATCAAACAACTCACATTGAAAGAAATGTTTAATAAAGTAAACATATAAATATTAAGCTCTTTTCTTTTGTAAATTTTGATACCCTTTAAATCATAAATGCTTCATTATTTCATAAATCACGATTTCATATTTTCAATTTTATAATTTCTACGTGCCATCTTAGTAGATTTAAAATGATCTAATATCCGGAAAAATCTCAAATCTGGATCGCCGAAGTCCCGACGAGTCCAGACCTCGGACTTTGTACACTGTATAAATATATATATATATATATATATATAATACGGAATGTATATTTTCAGTTAAACTTCTACCCAATAACTTTAAGTAATTCATGAAAGTTAATTTTGCGTCTAGTTAATTCAGGAAAATTAGTTTCAATTAGTTGTTTTCAGCTTTAAAAATATTTAAAAAATTTTAATTATTAGTTATTTTCAATTAATAATTGTATTGCCATTAGCAAAAATTATGCATTACTATCAACAACATAGGTTTAAACCAAATACTTAATTGTCTATTGAAGCTTCAAAACGTATTTCCGAACTTTTCCGAACTGAATTTTCAGCGCTGACTCTCCCATTCTAGAAATTTCAATTTGTTTCAGACAAAGACCACATTTAAGGATTGCCATCCATCAATATCCAGTCTTTGTAGTCAGCTTGATGAAGCTACAGTTTATTGAAAATGCACTTTCCAGGCATCTCGTTCCTATTGGCGTCGGAAGGGATGTGGCTTTCCAGGTTGAGATTGCTCTAATTTTGGCAAATATTTTCAGAATGCCCCCCTTTTTTTTCTCAAGCACTTTCATCATCACTTTTGCCTCTTAAAGAACTTCCGGCTTCACGCTTTCGTCACAATCTGCCTAAATTTATGGACAACACCTGTTTCGAAAGATTGGGTGAATAGCCAATCAGACACCGATACTTTCGATCGGGTAGCTGTTTTTTTTTTTTTTTTTTTTTTTTTTTATCGTGCAACGCAAATCCGCCAGCAGATTGGTTAAGAGCCGTGCAATTTTAATTCCATATTCATGAGAAATCGTAATTCACACTTAGAATGGCAATCATTAGAAATGATAAGAAATGTCAAATGAGCAAAATTAAGGACCGATTATTCATTTTAGCCAAAATTAAGGACTTTTAAGGACCGTACGAACCCTGTACACAAGGAAATACCGTAATACTTAACATAGTATTCCGAGTGTTTCCAGGAGTGGAGAAAGGCAGGGTTTGTACACACTTCTGCACATGGGAATTAAGTACTTTTAAGAACCTATCAGCAAATGAGAGCTGAATAAATTCAATTAACTTATGTCTGAGCTCCATTTTTGTAATAACTCTAAGAATATAAGAATAACAAGTTTATTAAGAATAAAATAGATCTGTAATTAGCATGCATTCTTATTAAACATAATTTAATAAACATAACTATAAAACAAATTTGAGAATAAAATCCACTTTATAAAATTTATCAGATAGCATTAAATATTTTACATGTACATATTTGAAAGAAGATTAGGGGCATTTTATTTACATTTTACTAACAGCTTTATGTTGATTTTTTTCTTTTATATCTCATTTTGCCACATACTTAGTCTAGAGGTTTAGTAAATAGCAGACAGATTTTATGTCAAATGGCATAGGTTAAAATGAGAAATAAAATCAGAATCAGCATGATGTGTAACAGAAGATTGGCTGTTGCTAGTGCTGCTGAGATAGATCCTAGAGAGAGATCTGTTGATCAGAACAAACCTGAAAGCCTGATGAAGTTTTGAGGTTGGCAAGTTTTGAAAATTAGTTGTGCTCCATCTGTCTGACACAGTCAGTGTTATATCTTCATGTAGAGTTCATTGTAATCTAATTAATATATTTTAAAGTTCCAATAAGCCACTAATGCACCAGAGGTGATAAGTTGTTTTGTATTATTTTAAATCTTACTAGATGCGAAGAATAAGTTCTACTTTAATTTTAATATTTTTTTTTTTGCTATATCTTGTGCCCACAGTAAGGATTAATGAAAGGCAATAACTTGCTTTAATATGCAGAGATAACTTTTAAAGGTGAGTGGTTAGTTAGAAATAATTTAAATTAGGTAGCTAAATACCCTTAATCGTTATAAATTGCATGATCACTTTTAAATTTTATTTATTTTTTAAAAACATTTGTTGAAAAAGCACTATTCAAATCACAATCTAATAATATTTCACAGTTTAAAATGCATGTAATTTTAAATTGCCAGTTTTAAATCAATGTCATAACACTGATTCTTAAACGGTATTAGGGTAATTCCACATTAAAAGCTACAAAACATTTACGTTTTGACACATAAATATTTTGTTATGTGTCTTTTTAATTTGAAGCCTTCCTAGACATTTTGGCTTAATTTAAATCAATTTTCTTCTCTTTAAACATTTTCCCTAACAATTAAAAATCTGTTTCAATTACACAAACCAATGTTCCCACTTGTTTCTGTGTGCTTTATCTCCTGATTTGCCACTCTCTTAACAGTGTTTGTAACAAGGTTTTACTTGATCTGGTAAAAGTTAAATAGTCCAAAATCTCTTATAGACATGAAGCAAATTATTGCTATGTCTGAAAGTAACTACAAAGTCACATAAAAGTTTAAATAAACCTTTTATTTAAAAAGAACTTAGAACATATAGGCACGTTCCTATGTTGACAAAATCAACTACAGCTTGTGGTGATGCAATTAAACAGGAATAGTCAAATTCAAACTAAAAAGTAGACTAGTAGTCAAAGACTACACAATTTAATTTTAATATAAGCTGGCTCAGTAACTCTATTGTCATAACAAATTCAAATGTTAGCGGCAATTATGCAATGATGAATAATTAAAAATTATCAGAGGTGGCAGAAACAAATGCAACATCCAAGTGCAGGGTAAAAACACTCTGCCTTTCAGTCCCAAAACCTCAGTTATATAAGGTGAATCTTTTAAATTGCTAGTTTTCAATTTCACTATTATAGAAAAATTCTTTTTATAATCCTGTCCGCAAAAAGATTAAAACATTTTGATATTTTCCATACTTGTGTCTAGTGAAAAGTTAAATAACATGTTAAAAAAAGATTTCTAGTACCAAAGTACAACATTCACATTATGTTTTCATTGTTCTTCCAGATGTTAAAAAAAAAAAAAAAAAAAAAAAAAAAGAACTTCATTGCAAACTTTCTGTAAAATACATCCATTATGTGTTAATACAAAAGACATTGTCATTTTGTCAATTTTTTTCTGGAGCCTTCTAGAATTATGGGTCTGTAAATCTTGCCTTCAAATCCTTCTAAACTTTTCAAGTTGCAATGTGTAAAATCCTAAAGAAAAATTAGCCCTACATATTCAGCAAGAGAAAAAGGGCTAGAAATATTTTGAGAAAAAAAAAAGTGTAAAATTAATTTCATAGAGAAAACTGATGCATATTCTGACAATTCTTAGACAATTACATGGGAAAAATTCTTACCATGAAAAAATTAAAAGGAAGAAATTTTTAATTAACTATATAGCTATTTTGCTTTTGCTATGAATTGCTTTGTAAACTGTGCTTTATAGCATTTATTACCTTGTTTATTTTTCAGATTCAAAATACTATATAATAAATCGTCAAAATGGAAAGTAATGCCACTTTATAATATAACAGCAAAAGAAAATAAAAATGTTTTATTTTAATGTTATTACTTAAATGTAATTTAAATATATTACCATTATTTTAGTTAAATTTATCAATGTTATTGTGTTTTAAAAAAATTCCCAGATCTCCAAAATAAAAATTTTCTATAGAAATCAATCTTAAAATCGCCAAATTTAGAGCCGTTTAATAAAAGAACTCACATCCCCAAAAGCAGAAAGATGTTAAAATGCTTTTCATTAAAAAAAATGAAATAATTTTGAAATGCTTATGTTTGACTCCTTGCTCCAGAAACTCCAATATCCCACCTTTTTTACCACATTAGAAATAGGAACAAATTATAACCAACGAGATATATACTGGGAGAGAGCATATCTGCAACCTCCAACCGGTTCCAGCATTAGTGTCACTTGAATGTTGGTCGAATTCCGAAAGTACAGAAATACTTTACATTCATTTCTATGGGACGACATAAAATTTAAGAACTACCAAACTACTTGAAATTTCACACACTGCATCTTTGCATTTTTGTTTTCTCTTGTCCTCCACGATACTGCAGTTTTAATGGTCAGAAATCTATTTGAAAATCATTTCTGGGTACAAGGCCTAAATATTAACTACGGTTTCAAAATTCAATTTTTCTGCTGGAAAAAAATTAATAATAATAATAAAAATGTGAAAAATCACACTCTTCTTTTGAGTCCTTAATTTGCTTACTGAATAAAATACTACTGATCTTAGTTCATTATTGCCTTTTATTGAATAGCAAAATTCCGGTAGTCTTCTTTTATGTGAAATAACTTCAATGACATACAATAAAATTAATTATAATCAGAATAAAATTTCAGCAAAAATTGTAATAAAAATTCATGTAAATGCAAAATCTAAAATTATAAAAAAATTCTACACTTTTTACATTTGCATCATAATTTGCAAATGAGTAGTACAAGTAGGAAAAAAAGGGTAAAAATAAATTAGTCACAAAATAAAATAATACTTAAGTTATATATGCTGAATGAAAATGAGAAAATGACTACATGTACATTTTAACGAAGAAATATATTCTCTAATTGAAAACATTTCTCAACTATATTTCTGCGATTCCCATTCATTGCGACTTTTTCTGCTTGATAATATTTAGCAGAGAAAAAAGATTTACTTCCTACCACATCAATTTTTAACATGATAATTTGTTATATGCCTCACATTCAAAGCAGACGATCATTGTCAATTTCAAAACTCTTGTTTTTGCTTTTTTCAGTCTGCATTAATGGCTCGTTTCCATTTCTCAAGGAATTTATATTTTCTGTTATGTCTATGACAGCAAAAGAACACTTTCTTTTCTCTGTTATAGTTTTATCTAATACAATGTCTTTAGAAAGTTCATTGGATTCAGCAGTTCTGTTTCTATTATCTTTTTCTACCTCTTCTGAATTCTGTTTTTCTAATTTTATATTTTCATCAGTTACAGTTCTATCCATAGCTATCACTGATACATTTGGCATAACTGATTGTACAAGACTTTGCAAACACTTTGGACTCAAGCAAATGTTTCTTGTACGGTTATTCAACTTATAAATTCCAATAAGGTGATCAGCAAGCAAAAACATATTTTCTCGAAGAGAAATAACAATGAATTGGGCATTCTTAGTACAATCCTGTAAAGAAAATATAAACACAAATTTTATAGTATTACACTGATTAATAATAACAAGAAAACAGGCAACTGAAAAAATGGCTCTATAAAATTTTAATTTGTAAATTGATATTACACACACAAAACAAACAAAAAAAAAAAAAGGGGGGGAAGGAAAAATTTTGCAATGATTTTAAATGAACTATCCCCATTGGCTATTTAAAATAGGATTGTAATTTAAAAAATTCAGTTTTTCTTAAACTGCCACTTTTTGTTTTAAAACTGTAAACTGTTAACAAACAATAAGGCTAACATTGTGGAAAGGTAGGACATTATTTAACTGGAATTCACTCATAGTTTCTTTATATCAGCGGTCTTCAAACTTTGTTGACTCACAGAACCCTTACAATTAAAAGGTTTTTCCGGGCAACCTCATCCCACCCTTCAAAAAATATATCTTAAAATAAAATAATATTTTAATTAGATAAGTATGTTTTAGGTACTTTAATATGTCAAGACAATTAAAGAAAAATATTGCATTTTTTATTAAAAAACCGTAACCTAAAATTAACGTAATTTATTCATTAACTCGTGTTCAGGGTGTCACCTATTTTTGGATTATATTTAGTGTCAGCAGTCTGCTAAAATTTTTTATAAGTCCAGCTCTACTGATATTATCTGCATCGCATTTCACATTCTGTATTCAATTACGGCAAAGCACACTAGGGCTATCTGCCTGAGGGGAGGGATGCCTTCGTGGAGGACTTTCTAAGGGGAACTGGCTTGTATACACGTTACACATGGAGAAAACCACGAAAACACCCATGCAGCCAGCCCGTTCGCGGGATTCGAACCTCGGACCGAACTACCAGTGTTCAGCGACTTACCGCTCGCCGCTGGTGGGCCTTTATTTACAATGTGTATATATATATATATATGAATTAAAAAAAGTTAGGATTAAAATGCCTAGAAAAAGCCGTAAGAATACTTGAATGCTACCTATCCCTTTTTTCAAAAAGAAAAAAAAATTAGTAAATAATATTTGAACCGAAAATGCTTATATAACATGAAATTATATGAATACCACAAACATTTGTTAATCTCTTTTGTTCAATGCTTTAAACAGAACTTGTCAAGGAAGTGTTTTGAAGCTTCAAATCAAATTGATTAACTAGACCAACTAAAACAAGTTTCATTCCAACAAATCCACTGAGACTTGTTTCAGATGTCCAAGCCACAAAAGTACTGAATGTTGAAATAAGTATTACTAATTAGAGACTAAAAATTGAAACAGATAATATAAAAGTAAAATACAAGTAAATTAATAATATACAAGTAAAATCCTAAATAGGAGCTTTCCTATCAAGGCAAACGATCAAATAATGATTTAAATGCAAAAGATAAATTAAAAAGAAATAATCTTTATAATAAAAAATAAAAAGCTCAAACTATTTTCATACATGAAAGTTAATTTGATTTTCCAGTATAAAAGCTAAAAAAGGCCTGTCTTGAATACGTGAATTAATAAACTTTTGTTTTAAAAATTTTAAAGTTATAAACCTGTGAAAGTAAAAACAGGGAAGAGCAAATCTGCTCAAAAAACTTGGATGGTAAAACCAGAGAATGACAAAATTCATACCTGGTAGTATCATAATCTTCCGAAGTTTAACAGAATACAATAGGAAGGGGGAATTGAGAATTAGTAAAAATACTTTAAGAACTAAAACAAAAATGGAGAAGTCAAGACAAATGCCTAAATCATTAGAACAGTCTCATTGAAACATTTTCCCTCTTATCAGTGGGATGGACAAATAAATATATATATATATATTTTTTTTTTAAACAATAAAGGGTAGCCAAATCAACATTTCTGATACAATGCAATTTTAAACCACTACAGCAGTTATAAACAATTGCATAAATCTATACCCTACGCCTGTGGTCTCAAACTCAAAAAGTTAGGATTAATTGCTAGTTAATTGTGAAGTTAGGATCAAATTGCCTGTGGGCTGCATACACAATCTGGAAACAGCTGATAGGCCAGAATTTTTTTTAACAAAATTTAAAAAATTTAATTAAAAAAATATTTTGTTGACCAAGTATTATTCAAAATAAACATAAGCAACAGTAACGATATATATATAAACACTTATTAGTCCAAAGGGGCTTTGTCAATGAAGGACTATTGTTTTCATTTTGCGATTTTGCATCAAACCACTCTGAATATGTCCTTTTTCCTTTTCAAACTGTAGCCACCAAATATTATCACCCTGTATTACATTTGAAGAAATTAAATAATGAAGAATCTGCATAAATATATGTATGTTTCTCGCATTGTGGTAAAACAACGGTACCTAGAACCATCGAATTTTGAATGACGTAATCCTACTGCAAATATGGGTATGTGGAAGCACAAACTTGAAATTTGTTTTATCATAAATTTCATGTTTTGTAAAACTTTAACGAATTTTTGATTAAAAAAATTCAAGATTTCAAAGCGACCAGTTAGCAACGTTGTACAGAAAAAAACATTTTTATCTCCAGCACATGAGACTGAGTATCGGAAATTCTAAAGATATGCTCAATTTAAAATTATTTTGCGATATTGCTCTAGAACTGAATTTGTTGGTTTAAGTGCGAAGAACATGATATTTAATAAATAAAGGTAACACACAGTATGTTAAAAAAACGTCCCTTTGGATGTAATTTAAAATCTCAAACCTTTTAGATTTTCTTTTTTTATTTATTTTCTATATGAAATTTAATTTGGTATTTGCAAAATTTAATTTGGTTTTTTGCAAAACATTTTTGGGGAATATTATTTGTAATATCAAATTTTCAGACTGATGTTTATTTAAAATAGTCTAGGATAAAATAGTTTCTAGGGACAAAAAAAACCGGACATCATCTCAGGAAGTGAAAAGGTGTTTCCTCTTCTTCTCCACAAGCTGAGCAGAGAGAAGATTCAACAAGACCACATATGTGGAGATGCTTGGCCAGATAAGCATGTCCGGTGACAATTTGAATTACCTGGCATAAGTTAGTTCTACTGAGGTGTATGAGTTTACCTGATAAGTTAAGTACTACACCAATTTAGAATGACCAGTCGGTAGTTTAGACCATATATCATCTTTTTCTTTATCAGCTCTTACTTCTTTTTTAAACAGTTTGATATGAAACTGGGTAAAATGGTTCTGGGCCAGACATTGGTAGTTGCGAAGCAAGTAATAGAAATCATGCAAATAATAGAAAGAAGCCAAGTATATTTAATAAAATAAAATACTTCAACTGTTAGCAATATTTAAAAAATTAAAACAGTTTGGACAACAATTTTTAATCAAGGTATAAATCTTACTTTTATGTAGCTCCCAATAATTGACACATTACGAAAATCCAATGCAGCATCAATTTCATCCATTACAAAGAATGGTGTAGATCTATAATAATGCAAAGCAAAAACCAATGCTAATGAACTGAGGGTTTTCTCGCCACCAGACAAATTGCGTATACTTTTCCAAGATTTTCTTAAAGGTCTGACACTAAAACAAATAAAAATAAAATATATACACACATATAATGAAAAATTAAACTTGCATTATCCAAGCAATATTTAATATTAAAAATTAGAATTTTTGACCACAAGGAATGAAATGAATCTGGTATGGTCAAATGAAAAGGTGATGAGAATCATAAAATCTATACATACATATCAGTTAAAAGTTCTAATTCCATTTGCTTGTAGAGACTACTTCTATATTATGGTAACTGATAGACTTCCTTCTCAAAGCAGTGACTAGACTGACAGAGGAACTAAACTGTCACACACTTCCACAATCAAGCTTCCAACTGGAAATATTGACTTCTCAGATGTTTTTCAAGGACACCATACAAAGGGTAATCTTAGGATGACATTTGGACTTTCCAACAAATACAGCAGCACTTCCCTTTGAAATTTCATCAGATTATTATTATTATTATTTTTTAAATGGGGAAAACACAGTTGAATATTATCATGCAATATCAGAGCTCAACATCCTGTACCATTTGTTTTTGATGGCAGTACATCATCACAGCAGTATTTGACAGTATACTATTTACACAGTCGATAAGTATCACATCCCTTTAGCAGAAAAAAACATGTAATAAATGTAAACATGTAAACATGTAATTTTGTGGATTAACGCTGATTTTTGTTGTTTGACTTCTGAATGTAATAAATGCTTCGCTCTGAATTTATAATGTAATTGAGAAGCTAGATATTCCACTATACACACATTCGTTTCATTTATAGTTGAAAGTGTAGGCCATGTTTCATCATCCATCACTAATTTAGGAAAAAAGGCTATGCCACTGTCATTCTGTAGGAAATGCTCCAATGGAAGGTTAATTCGAAGCTTGAATTTCTTTTCCAAGAAATGTATAGTCACACTGTTAATCATCTTCATGCAAGCAGCCATTAGTCCTATGTGCTCAGTTACAACGATTAAGCTTGATTGGCTTGCAATATTCAACAAATTTTTGTAACTTTGAAGGAAATATGCACTACCCTTACAGACAGGTTTTTTAACTTGAATTTCCCCAAATGTAGCTAGGGCCCTCCTATAAATAGCAACTAGCACTTTGTATACGATCAACACAAGGCATGTGATTGCAAAGTGTCGTTTACCAGGGTATTTCACGATTGAAACATTTTTATGTTGCACATATAAAAAAATACCTGTAATCTAACAACAGATGAAGCTGATGCCACACACCACATTACTGCACATAATCATTCATTACCATATAATGTGATAAACTTCTTTCCCTACCATAACATCAAAAAAGGACTAATTGGTAGCTGAAAAGACTGATTATTCCATATTCTCTAATTTAGGAATTTCAGTTTATTGTCACTCTCTTGCTTAACCATACCAAATAATTAAAGTTTTAAAAACAAGGGGGGAACATAAATTAATGCAAAGAACCAAAATAAATATATAATTGACATACTGCCTGACCCACTTTTTGTTTCCACCAGCAGGTGATTCTTCAGCTTCCAAATTTTCATACCGAAATCTGTTCTTTTAAAGACATTTATTTATGAGAATAATGACTTTGTCCATTAACTGATACAGGGAATGTGTTTTGGTTGAAAATAGAATAATTTAATCCTCTCAGATTCTAAATGAAACAGAGCAATGTATATATTTGCAAAAATCAATTGAGAAATTTTAAACAAAATTCTTACCGTTAAGATCTGAGAGCCAACTTACATATTAGTTCAATATAATTTACAAGTAATTCAATTTCAAAATGAAATTATAGGTTAAATAACTGAAAAAAGTTATTTTAATTTTTTAAAAATCATAATATACATTAACAGAATTTCTTAATATTGATATTTAACTTGGAAATCTCTTGCTGTTACAGAAGAGCTACTGGTCTCTAATTCCCCATTAACACAAAATGAAAATACAGTAAAAGCTTGTTTATCTAGGAAGCTCAGAAGATACTGAATGCCGGATGCGCGAGCATTCGATATAGTTTGAATGCATAAAAAATCAAAATCACTTTAAAAAAGCCAAAAGAATGGAATAAAATTATAAAAATGGTTGCTTTTGTAGCCAACTTGAATCTCAAAGTCTAAATTTAAAATTATGCAAAATTTTGAGCACAAAAGTGCATTTCAGCTGATATACTTTGTAGGCCTTTAATATGAAACTAATATATCTATTCAGTTATAAAATCTTGTTGAACAAGGAAGTTGGAAGAAATGTTGCCAAATTCATTTTGGCAAAAACTTAATGGAATAGACCATACTTTAATGCAGTTAGATAATAAACAAATACAAAGTACAGATATAACATATAAAATACTGTTAAATCACATATCATAATCTTTCACACTACATCCCCAATGTTTATCCATTTTTCAAATAAAATCATACTTTGCACCTTTTTGATGCCAGGATTCTGCAACTCAAAAAATATTCCACCACATGCTATCCTGTAGATGGTAGGCAATATCAATAATTTTTTTCGAGATGTGAAGAAAAAATACAACTTACATCCTTTGTTACAAAAATTACACAGGATTATGTATAGAAAATTAGTTGGGTTTACATAAAACCAAGGCAAAGCTCTTGTGATTGTTTTGTAATGTCATGCTTATCCATTTTTGGTGGTAAATCACAGTGCTTAGAATGTATATGTGATAATAGCTAATGCAATAGTGTAATGAGATCTATAAATTTATCATTTATTTAATTTTCTGAGGAAAATTTTACTTCTAAAATATTCCGGTTGGTTGAAACGGAGTATAGTCAGACTTTTATCCTTCCATCTACAACAATGCTGAGTAAAAAACATTTAACTCTAAACTAGCAAAATATGGTATCCTTATTTGTCTTGCCATCTTTTACTTTTAACAACACAGGTTCATGCAACCAACAAAAGAAAAAAAAATCTTGTGATTGCTTGAAAATGGTTAACCACAATCAGAACCAAAGTAAAAATTTTGTATTATTGCCAAAGCACTAAATGATGCAAATGCCCAAAACAGAAACTACAGGTGACAAAAGAATGCTTTCTGTCTGTAGAACTTTTCCTCCCTTATTTCTTGAATGCAAGTTACAGGTGAATTGGTTACCTTCAATATGTCTGATAGGTGGAGCTATTTCAGATGACAAATCATTCGTGCTTAGGGCAATATATATAGATGAATTAATAGGATAACCTTAAATTTAGCTTATGAGTTTTCAATTTTAGGTCAATTTCTGAAGAAAAATATTAAATATTTTATGGTAAAACTTTGGCCATCACTTGATTGCTTGGGGAGAAGAAAGAAGAAGAAGAGGGGACAGTGTTTTATATCTTTCATTCTACTGGGCCGATTGATGAAATTCAAGATGGGTTTTTCATATCTCATATATTTAGGATATATACTTGATTTATGTATAGCACTGTTCTAATACATGTATCTTGACACAAAATCAGACTTTTTCTGAAATGAAATGTCCATTTTTATCCATATTTTGATTCTATGCCTCAAATTATGCCTTAATATTAAATTTTGTAAAATCTGGTGGGAAATTTATGGTGAAATTCAAAAATTTATCTTGGCACATATTTTTCAGTTTGTGCCAAGAATAATTCACTTGGCGAACTTCTTAATATAAGGCAACCTATTTTCCTTCCCTTTTTTTCATTATAAATGAGAGGAAATAAAGTTGCATCATTCCTACTTTCAAATAATTTTTAATAAAGTGCGTAAACAACATTTGATGTTATTATCGCTTTCAACAAATATGCCAAATTTCAAAATGCATCAATATTTGTAAATTCATGTATGTCTCAGAAAATTTTGCATAAAAAAACTCTAATTTTTTGCAGGTATGATTCGAAATACATAAAAATACATTTAAGATGATGGTAAAAATTTTACAGGTTATAATTAAAAATTTTTTTTGAAAAATGTATAAAAATTATTTAAAAAAATCATAAAATAGGTGAATTTTATTTGGAATGAACTAAATTTTGAATTCTAAAAGAAAGAATCAAGTAGGTTAATATAAAAAAAGATATTAATAAATATATACAAAATTCAATATACATTGATGAGCTAATTTTTCAAAAAAATACTCGTGCTTTTTTTAAAAACTTGGAAATTTCACATAATTTTAGATGTAAAATCGCAATATGGAAAAAAAAGTGGCAGGTCATTTCAGAAAAAGTCCGATTTTGTGTCAAAATACCTATATTAGAACAATGCTATATATAAATTTAATATGTGTCCTAAGTCGTGCTTTTGAGACAAGAAAAGTGCAAGTTGAATTTCTTCAATCAGCTCAGTAGAACGGGAGATATAGAACTGTTTCATTTTTTTCGCAGTGTACATTTAATAATCCCACCTACCGGAATTTTGGGTAGATAAGACGCGGCTTATATGTGTTTTAAAGTTGAAAATTTAGGTCTGCAGTGTATCTGAAGGACTTTAATTTTCTTCTGTCTTACAGAGCAGATAGAAAGTGTCAACAGTTAGAATGCACCTTCAAGCAAAATTAATTGCTCAGCAAACGGGCATCAAAAATTTTGTTGGAGGACCTAATTGGTGTTTCAATTTCATAAAGAAATTATCTGTCAGGACCAAAACAATAGTTGGACAAAAGTTTCCCATTGGCTGGCTTGAAAAAAGATAGCTTTTTTGGAGTACACATCTAAGAAAATAAAAGAACAAAATTTGAATAAAGGGCAAATAATTAATATGTATGAAGTGTCCGTTACTTTTGACTGTCTCCAAGCAGAATTGTTCATTCAACAAGTGAAAAAATAATTTCTGTGTAAACTGGGAATAAAAAGATTTCTTTTATTTATGTTTCAGGCTTTGCCGTTAAGAGATAGAAGTTAACCCCTTTGACAATTTTGAAAAGGAAAACAGTTCTGAAAGGAAATTTTCCTAAAGGAATCCTTATTTATGGCAGTGAAAAAGGATGGATGTACGAAAAAATGATGCTGTTTTGGCCGAGAGAAATTTATCGAAAAAAAAAAGGTGCTTTTTTCCAACCCCAGGACTAATCATTCTGGATTCAATGCGATCCCATTTAGTGTATATAGTAAAATCTGAAGCAAAAAAACTAAGCACTGATGTCTCAGTGAGAACAGGTGGGCTTCGAAAAACTTTACAGCCACTGGATCTCACCATCAATAGAATTTTCAAGCAGGAACTACAAAAGCAGTGGGAGGAACGCATACAAAGCGTACTCCATACCTTCACAACTTCCAGACAAATGAGAAAAGCTTTGTATGAGGAGGCTGCCTTATGGGTCGATACAGCATGGCAATCAGCCCGAGTTGATATGATAGTATCAGTTTTCATTAAATCGGAAATCAACCAAAAGGAAAATGAAAGTAAAGATAGGGACATTGAAAGAAGTGATTTAGAACAGAATAATGAAATTGACCTTGATTGTCATTTGTTAAATTTATTTAATTTTGACATTGACAAGTTGGATTTTGAACAGTTTGTATAAATAAATGTAGTTCAATTTAATTATAGAATTCTGTTTGATTATCTAATTTACATATTCTTTTTCATAATATAACTTTTGGTGATAACTTAATAAATGAGTATTAAGTGCCATATTTTGGAATGCTTTGCTGTGGCGTATACGACAGTGTGGCTTAGCCAATGAACTTTCATTTTTTTTAGTTAATTATCATGTGTGTGGCATATATGCCAGGGTGGCTTATCTGTCCAAAATTACAGTACTAGCAACAGTGTACTAGTTAGGGTGGGGCGAGAAGAGACATCTGCCCCCGGACGCAGCAACCAAGGAGTGCCAAATTGATGTTACAAAACTTTAGAATGAAATATTTTCCATTCTCAGCACACAGAAAGGGACACAAATTCTTCAGTTGTCCCCGGGTGCTGAAAACCCTAGCTACGTTTCTGACTAAGCAACAACAGATTAAAGCAATATTATTAAAGCTTTGCAAAATAATGTTAAATGACTTGTAATTTTAAAATTAGTTCACACACAATACTAAATGATTACAGGTCGATGAAAACGAGTAATATAATAAAAGAAAAAATAGATAATTTAAATAAAATGAATTCAAAGTCATCTTATGCTTTTGTCTTTAAATAACATTTTATTCCGATATCTCGAACATAAATTTCTTGCTTCGAAATAATAAAGATAAAAACTTTTAAACCACAAAGACTTACCTAAATTCAATGCCCTCAGCAAAAGGATCCAAAGAGTCTACCAATTCAAGCTCTGCATCGCCTCCTAAAGTTATCATTTGGTATAGTTCTTTGACTTTAAGTGTTATTAAATTAAAACCTTTCATAAACTCATTCAATCTATGCTTTCGAAGAGTCTCATAATAACCTCTATAACGATCTCGTTCTTTTACTGTCTCCTCCAAATCATTTAATTTCTTCCGATACATTTCTTCCTAAACAAACAAGTATAAATTATTAGTGATAAAGCTACTTCATTTAATTTTACGAATAAACATGTCTTGAATAAAACTTCAGGTTAAGCCAAACGATCATTTTATATTGAGATACATAATACAAATTCTGAGATCCCGACGTCCAATATCTGGAATGATCTAAAATCTGGACCTTAAAACCACAAACAAACAAACAAACAAACAAAACAACAACAACAACAAAAAAAAAAAAAAAAAAATTAGGAATTTTTTTTCATGCTTCACGCATGTGCATTTGATTTTTTTAACCCCATAAGAAAACACGTGGAGAATCCCGATTCTTGATTTCACTTCAGCACTAAATAAAATACCTTATTACTGAAGAAACAAACAATCAATCATTTTAGCATAAATTTGTGTGATAATTTGAATCTGTAGCTGCGTATCTGCTTGGCATACATCTCAAACTTAAACATTCTACATAGAAACATCATTGATTTTACAATTACTAATATTTTATATCTCTGACGCCAACCTGACGAATCATTATTTATTTATTATCTTTTATTCTCATCACTGTATGTTTATCAACACATGACAATTTGAGTATTGACTCCTGCATTGATGCATAAACAATTTATTTTATATTAGTATTTAAATAAAAAAGTATGGATGGAAACCTTTTATGTTGACACAATGCTTAGTGTTGATTACAGATTTAAGTTAATTGCACTAAATTTTGACGAGAAAAAATTCTCTCTAGATGTTGAAAAAAGATTTTGTTAATGATACTCATACAAAAAAGAGATTACATTTAGCACTATTTTAATTAAGAATAACTGATTTTTTATTCACATAAACCCAGAGCTTCCAGGGCACATATGGACACACCAGGTGGCAAAATTTAGAGAAGCACCAAGTAACAAAATTATGGGATGATAAAATTAATAGAATTTAAGGAAAGCACTGGGAGCCAAAATTTAGAACTTAGGAAGGCACTTAGAATTTAGGACCCACAGAGACAGCATCAGGCCGCAAAATATCTAGTGCCGACCCTCAGTAAGCTTAAGTATATGTGAGAATTTATTTATTCAGAGCTTACATAAGCCTTATGCATGCACAAGATTCACATGTAAGTACAGTCAAAAGTCTTTACGCCGGACTCATTGGGACTTCGGCGATTCCGGATTATTGGTTTTTCCGGATAATAGATCATCAGTTTATATCTGGTAAGATGGCATGCAGAAATTATACAATTAAAAATATGAAACCATAATTTATGAAATGAAAAACAATTATGATCTAAAGGGTATCAAAATTACAAAAAAAAAAAAAAAAAAAAAAAGCTTAACATTTATTTGTTTACTTTATTAAACATTTCTTTCAACGTAAGTTTTTCTCTTTAATTCTATAAACAGACATAATTTCTTCTTCAGTTACAAAGTTCCGCTGTTCAAGTCCTATAATTGCCGTGTCGAGGATACCGACTAATTTGTCAATCTCAATTTTCTCGTTTTCAATAACCTCTGTGTCACTTTCTTCGCTATCGGAAGCGAATTATAATGACGAGGAATTTGATTTAAAGCGTATCAAAGACGGAGTACAACGAGATGAAATACTACATTTAGTAAGGAGTTATAAGGCAAATAAAATAAAAACATCTGCCCTGAAGATAAGGATAGTGCTGACATATCAACTTCCAGTTCATTGCGCGTTGCGTCGTTCAACCCCCCCGGCAGAGCAGCGTGAAATTGATAAACAGATTTCGGAATATTTAGAGAAACAAAGGATATGCCTTTATCCATTTTTTGCAGCAATTCCACTTTTTGTTTGATGGACATCGAAACATGCTTTCACTTTGTAGATCCTTTGGCAGCTCCAGAATCGGAAACACTTTTTGACATAATCGAAAGTTCCAGCTTACGTTTTATAAAATTGCTCTAACAGTCTGCAAAAAATAATAAGCCAGATCCAATTAGAAGATTAAGGAACAACACAATCTGCAACATTAACTGAAATAGATAATTAGATCTTAGCTTATACCGCCCGTTATACATTAAACGGGCATGCGTAAACGTATTATGCGCATGCGTAAAGGTATTATGGGTTTACGCATACGCAGAAAGTTTGTAGCTTTGAGGTCCGTATTATAGATCATTCCGGCTTAAAGACTTTTGACTGTATAATAAATACCTGGATTAATACAATTCAGGCCTTATTGTCTCAGTGCACAACAGAAGCACATAAAAAAAAACTGAAATGTTTCAGATTTTAAATTACGTTCAAAGGGGTGTTTTTTTAATGTTTTGTGTGTTACCTTTATTTATTAAATATGTTCTTTGCACTTAAACCATAAAATTTAGTTCAATGTTGCAAAATAATTTTAAAACGAGCATATCTTTAGAAATTCCGATACACAGTTCGACGCGCTGGAGATAAAAAGGTTTAACCCCCCCGTAAAGTGTTGCCATTGCTTGCTTTTAAATCGTTGAGTTTGTTACTCAAAAATTCGTTAAAGTTTTACAAAATATGAAATCGATAATAAAAAAAAATTCCAAATTTGGGATTTCAGATGCCCATATTCACAGTAGGATTACGTCATTCAAATTTTGATGGCTCTAGATACAGCTGTTTTATCCCAATGCGAGAAATATACATACATTTATGCAGATTTTTCATTATTTAATTTCTTCAAATATAATGCAGGACTCTAACACTTTGTGGCAACAGTTTGAAAAGTGAACCGACATTTATAGGAGCCCGACGCAAAATGCCAAAACGAAAGTAATAGTCCTTCAGGACTCAAATCTCTTTGGACTAAACATTTAGCAGAACACCTTGTCTTTTGTTGCCAATCTCATGCTGCATAGCCAATAATGTATAGCAGACGCTGTTAAGGTAGGCTAAAATTATACTTTACTGATTCCAAAGAATTTCAATTAATACAGCAGATTGCATTGCTCCTTAACTTTCTGATTTGATCCAGCTTATTATTTTTTTGCAAGCAGTTATAATTACAACAATTTTACAAAAACTAAGTTTGAACTTTCTATTATGTCGAAAACAGTTTCTAATTCTGGAGCTGCAATAGAAACTACAGCAAAAGCATGTTTCAGTGTGCATTAAAAAAAAAAAAAAAAAAAAAAAAAAAAAAAAAAAAAAAAAAAAAATGTGGAATTGCTGAAAAAAATTAATATACGTATATCCGTCTCAAAATCATGCGAGAAGTATGGCGTAAAGTCAACTGTATATGACAACATAAAAAGAAACTTTACGGAACTCGCCACGCTAAAAGTGCTGATCATGACAAAGTGATGATTGAATAGTCAGAGAGAGAGACACAATGAGGGCGTGCCACTGATGGGGCCAATGCTAATGGCTCAAGCCAAAATATTTCATGAAGAAATAAGCTTAAAAACAGAGTGCACATATTCAACATATTGGTTAACTAAATTTTAAAATCGCGACGGTATAATGCAGTTACAAATTTCAGGTGAAAAAGCTTCAGCTTATTCTGAAACTGCTGAACTATTTGCAGATGAATTTGTTGAACTCATTAATTGTGAAATGTTATCTCCAGGACAAATTTACAATGCTGATGAAACTGGTCTTTTCTGGCAATATGTACCGCGAAATACCCTGGCAACCTTTACAGAAAAGGCTCCAATTGGTGTTAAAGATTTCAAAGCTAGACTAACAATTTTAGTAAGCGCAAATGCTGCAGGAACAAGTAGTGCAAGCTTTTAGTAATCGGAAAAAATACACAACCGTGAGCATTTAAAACAGTAACGATTTCCCCCGTTATATATCATGCAAATAAAAGAGCATGGTTGACACAAACACTAATTTATGATTGGTTTGAAAATCATTTCATAACCGAGGCTCGGTAAATTTTAAATTGATTGGTTTACCTGATGACCAAAAATTGTCCTGATTATAGATAACTGTTTGGCTCCTATTTCACCTAAAGTTTTAATGAAAGATTATGTATTCATGCTATTCTTTCCTCCAAACTGTATGTTCATCATTCAGCCTATAAAGATCGGATTGGGATGCATGCTGAAATGCAAATATAAAGCAGCATTTTTAAAATCCATGTTCAATTTCTTGAATAATGGCAAGACTATTCAAGAATTTTTGAAATATTTTACCATAAAACCTGCTGTGTGTAGCGTCGCAAGATGGTGGGCTCTGGATACTTTAAATAATGCTTCTCATAATTTATGGCAAGCTACCATATTTCATGGTGCGGATGATGAAGATTATAGCAGCATGCTATTGATAGTGAAGAAAGTGAAACAGAGGTTATGGAAAATGAAAAAATTTCGATTGACAAGTTAGTCGGAATTCTTGACACAGCATATATAATACTTGAACAGTGAAACTTTGTAACTGAACAAGAAATTATGTCATTCTATAGAACTGAAGCGTATTAGCACAAAAAATGATGCAACTTAAACAATTTACATTCAAAGAAGTGTTTAATAAAGTAAACAAATAAATATTAGGCTTTTTTTTGTTGTAAATTTTCATACTATTTTGATCATAAATGCCTCATTATTTAATAAATCACGATTTAATATTTTTAATTTTATAATTTCTACATGCCATATTGCTAGATTTAAACTGGTGATCTAATACCTGGAAAAATATCTGTCTTGCCCAAATCGGCAAAGTCCCAACGAGTCTGGATCTCGGACTTTGTACTGTAAATGTCATTAGGAACATTTAATATTAATTAAACTATGGTGCAAATGATTATAAAAATAATCTGTTATGACTTTATTAAGCAATTACAGATAAGTTGTTCACAAATAAGTTGAGAGATAAATTAAAATGCTCATATCAAATCAAACAGCAACATTCTGAGAACTGATTATTAAACAGGCTGTTCGGAAGTTTAGTAAAAGTCGTTTGGAATAGCCGCACCTACTAGTCCACTTGAATGATATATATTTTGGCAGCATAATATAACAACCCCAAAAATTAGTTGCACATTTCACAATAGATGCATTTAATCACTATATGCAAAAGTTACAATTTTTTAGAAATGCTTATTACAAAAGCAAAATTCCAAATATTGCTTTCTCAACAAACTGCTTAGCTTATCAGTAAAATTTGTCAACTTGAACCAAAATTGTTGTACTGCAAATATAAAACTATACTGTACTGTGAGAACACATAATATACTTATATTTTCATAACACTCTATAGTAGAAAATATAAACAGTTAATTCAAAAAATTACACAGAAAAATAAAAAGCATTAGAAAAAAGGCTTTACACATAATTGTACTTATAAGTATTACCCATAAGACACTGTGAAGGAAACTACATCCTGTAATAGCTTGCACATGAAATACACTATGCAAATAGCATTTAGTTATGCAATTAAAATTGCAAAAACCATAATTATCCCCAGATATTCTACAAAATGCTTCTAAACAATGAAAGATGAATTATTATATTTATTTAACACAATTAAAACATGATCTTCCTTAAATAAAATGAATCGATAAAAAAAGAAGTAAATAAAAAAAAATAAAATTTTTAAGTAAGCAGTGCCATGAATAAAACAGTTATAAATTAGTCTATATATTTACTTAAATAATAAAAGTCAAACTATTCTGTGTTCATGTACATAAAGAAACATCTTTTAGGAATTTCAGCAACATAACAACCACAGAAACTATAAACTGTTATATTATAAAAAAATAAAATAAAGCTGTATGTTATTAAGAAGTATACTTTTGAATTGCTCAGTTGCACGATGAGGCTGAGCATTGTCATCCATCAGCAAAATCTCAGGGCCAAAGGCACTCCGAAACAGTCTAACTTGGGGTTCCAATAGCTCATTCACATATTTTCAAGTGATAAACAGAACTTCCTTGAAATATATGCAGCTCTGTACGGCCATTTGTCATGATTCCTTCCTAAACCATTAAACTGTGGCGATGGAAATGGGATACTTCATGGACAAGAGAAGGCCAAATGCATGTTCATTCCTCTCTTCAGATCAAAACACATCTAGAATCACTGTTCAGACTATACTTGTACTCAGCCATCTTGGCTCTATTGAATATGACAACAGCATCAGTTTAAATGCAGCTCTCTGAAAGCTGAAATGAGTGGGACTCAAACCAACCTCATTAAGCCTTTGTGAAGCAGTAGAATGGTTAATTAGAGTTCCTGTGGCAGCCTGAAGGTCTAAAACCAAATCTCCTGTAGTCATTTTGCAGTTTCTTCAAGCCAACATCGACAGAAAAGTCTTCTGATGCAGTTGTGTCCTCTGGTCGCCCTTGACCATTCTGTCTATCAACTGATCCAGTAGTTAAAAAGTTGCTCCAAACTCTTGATATTACTCTTTGAGGAGTATTCAAATTTTGGGCGACCTCCATTTGTGTTTGACTTCCTTCGATTCTGCCAGTTATTTTCCACTTTTGATTTTCACTTAATATTGCCTCTGAGCCATAACTACTGAATACTGATCACTCTCAGAAACCACATTCACTTTAAACACAATAGGCCGGAATTCCAATATGTCTCCATTATGCGCTACATTGTTAATCACCGAATTTGCATATTTCTGGCACTAAACATACGTACGGAAATGCAATTTTGTGTTCAATTGTATTTAATTAACATAAATAATAACAGCATGATAACATTAACTTCGTGAGGATATTTTTTCTCATGACCCTTTAATTTTGATAACCAGTGTATATAATAGAGATAATAATGTTGATTTATTATACACCTTTTATATGATATTCTGAGCTATCTGACAGAAAACATACTTTGAAAATATAAAAGATCTATCACATTTTGATATAACAGCAAATTAAACACACCTTTCGTTTAAATTCAGCTATGGCTCCTAAATCAGGATTCATTCCCTCCATTTGCTTCTGAATGCATCCAATTTCGTAATTTATTTTGCCAATGGCGACTTCTTCAAGCTCTTCACGTGTTAGAGTAGGAAATTCAATTGGACTGTCATCCTCTTCAAATAATTCTAATTTTGATAACTAACAAATAAAGACAAAAATAATGACAGTCATACTGGAAGGGGAGAAAAAAACACTTTTACGATATGCAATACTAAAGTAATAAATAAGGAACAAGGTTATGATAAGTATGAGTTTCCAAATTAAGAGCAAAATTAAAACAAAGAACCAAACACTGAAACTTAGAACAAAATATTTTGTTTACATTTTAATGCATGAAAACGAGATTTTCTTGAAGAAGTATTTGAGGGGTTAGGAACTTCTGAAGCAGGAAGGCTTACTATAAAGGAAAGCTAATTAACCCATTTTATCCCAATTTATTTATTTTGTTCAAATTTGAAAAGAATGATATTTTCTAAGGCTAATTAAACCTAAACAAAATAAATATAACAAAATTAGAAAATTTTTTATATTTTTATATAAGAAATGTGGCCCATCGTCTAAATAGGACACTGGGATAAAATTTGTACTTAACATGTTTTTAGTGTTCTCTTCAATGATGAAAAGTGATTTCCGTGTACAAATTTTACTTTATTCGACTAATACTTCCTTATTTGGATTCTGTAAAGAATATGTTAAAAATAGCCGTCTTATGGCAATGTAAAAAAATCGATGTGTTAAAAGTATGCTTTGTATAGAATTTATTTGTAAATCAGCCACACTATATGCCAATGTAAAAACTTTTGAATTATTATTAAATACTAGATAAGGGCGGACGTGGGCAGAACCGATTAACGGTAATGGTAGATGGATGGTGCCCACGTCCTCTGTTACTACTACTACTACTAGATTTCAATGTGATGTTAAGTAACAGCAATTTCTGACCCCTGTAGAGTAATTTCTACTACTTGTTAATATCTTCGAATTTTAGTTTAGTTCTTATTACTGCCCGAGTGAGGTATAGTGTGTTAGCGTCAAGCTGACACCTTGTGAATTTTAAAAGAGTTTAATAAAGGGTACTTTTAACCCTTCTCCTCTGTAGTTCCTACAAGTACCTACAACATGCACAGTTGTCGCTTAGAAGATAAGCCAGTTGTTCTTACAAGCATTAAGACATGAAAGTTGCATTTCATCAATTGGCTGAAGATTTAGAAATATCTTTTTTTTTTTTTTTTTTTTTTTTGACTGACGGTACATCAAAAAGCTATTACAATTTATAACAATGGGCTTGACCAGGAACAAAACCACTGTGCATGCGCGGATGATGTTGGAGTAAATAAAGCAGCTATGAATTGCCTTTCCAAACATAGCGCAACTCAATGGGAAAAGCCACTGCTTTATCAGACTTCAATAGAGGTCAAATCTTAATGGCTCGGCAACTGGAAAGATCAATATCAGAAATGGCACATTTAGTGAGTTGTTCATGTGTAGTTGCTGTGAGCACATATTGAAAGTGTTATACATGGTGAAACGATAAGTCACCGGCCAGCAGTGTGTCATCAATGGAGCATTAATTCCACAGGACAGCGGAGACTGCTATGCATTGTTTGCCGTGACCAAAGAGATACAACAGCCGAAAGCACCACCAGCTATAGCAGTAGCGACCCAGACAGTGTTTCTCAACACACAATGCAGAATAAATTGCTGAGTACGGGCCTATGCAGAGGCAGAAGCATGTCCCTGCACTAATGGCGCATCATCGCCAGCAAGGGGCCAAGAATCATCGGAATTTGACATTAGAAGAATGGAAGAAAATTGCATGATCCGACAAATCATGTTTTCTGGTCCATCACATCAAAGGGTGTGTGCTAATACACCGATTTCCAAACGAAAACCTGGCTCCTCGATGCCCATTTGGGCGAAGACAAGCCGGTGGCGAGGGTATTATGGTATAGGCAATGTTTTCATGGAACACATTAGGATTCATAATCCCAACAGAACAATCTCTGATGTCTGTGCACTACGTGAACGTCGTTACAGACCAGGTTTACCCATTCATGACAACAGTATTTCCAGCTGGGCGTGGTGTTTACCAACAGGATAATGCACCATGTCATAACAGTCTAATCATCAGAGAATGGTTCGTGGAACATTCCAGTGACTTTCAAGTCATGTCTTAGCTTCCAAATTCACCTGACTTTAATCCAATAGAGCATTTGTAGTTCCATCTGAAAAAACAAATTCGTGCTGCCACACTTCCCCCTATCAATGTGTGGGAATGGCAGGACCAGTTGGTGAGTGTTTGGTACCAGATACCTCAGACTATGGATCAGCACCTTGTGGAATCAATGCCACGCCGAGTGCTGGTAGTTTTAAGAGCTAAAGGTAGACCTACATGTTATTAACAGGGTGGTGGTCATAATGTAATAACTCTTCGGTGTATATAGATCATAATGTAGTGCTCATTACTATACATTTTCAAGCTTTACTAATGATTACTACTATTAATTAGCATGACTAATATATTACTGGTTTAGTTATATGAATTACATCAACTAAAACCACCTCAAAAATTCCAAAATTTTCATTTCAGTCCCGTGAGTAGAGATCAACTACATCATGGCAAATATCAACAGCTATTATGGTATACTCAAATTTTAATCATAAATGACTTGTCAAATTTTTTATGTAATGTTAAAAGAAAAACAGAGTACATAAAAATTACTTAAAAACTTGAATTTTGACAAATTTTACTTCTGACAATCACAATAGCAAAAGTACTGGATATTTACAGAATAAAGATCTTTACATTGGATTTACAATGGTAAAGGAGTAAGATTTTTTTCCATAGAAATACACGTAAGATACTATAAATATGTCCAAAGTTATAACATAATTCATGGCTTTCAGTATTTTTCAGATGGATAAAATATCTTATATAGATTATAATTTCCTAAAAACAAAAACTTTCATTACCTGTGCTTTTAAACCCTTAACCTGGCCTTGCTTTGCCCTCAGATCAATTTCAATCAATTTAACTTTATTTTTATGATCAACGAGTTCACTTTTAATTTGATGCATCTTTGTAGAAAATTCTTGCACTAAAATTGATATAAACTTTTTCTTTATTTCACATTGCTCCAGTTCCTCCTAAAAGAGCAAGAATAGAAGCAAAACAAATTTACACTACACTGAATAGAAGATTATTTATTTTTATTTTATTTATCACAAACCCATGAAATTCTTTCCCATGAAACACCATGGTTCTTTACAAAACTATTAATAAAAATACACAGCTGAGATTAACAGCAGTCATATAAAGATAAACAAAATGGAAATTTCTTGTCATCTTGCTTTTTATATTCGAACTCTCTAGAAAGAACATATCATAAAATAATTTCCATGAAGATAGAAATTCAAAGATGCAAAACATGATTGAAAATTTACAAAATTGCTGCCAATATATATGTTCTCAGCATTTTTAACATAAATTGAAATTTATGAATTAAATTGGAAACAAGCTTAATTTAAATACTTGATATAAGCTAAATATATAACAAGTTAACAAAATGAAGGTTAATTATACATCTTTCCTTAGTATTTTTGTTTTTTGTGTTTCAGGTTAAAAAAAAAAAAAAAAAAAAAAAAAAAAAAAAAAAAGTAATCACATAAAAGAAAATTACATCTTTAAAAGCTATAACATTTGGAAGTTGGGGAGAATCTGGAAAAACCTTGGAAAACCTGCATTTGATAAAAAATACAAATATTCAAAAGATTAATCCCTTCTTCAAAGATTTTTAATTTTTATCATATTCTGTAACTGATTGATAAAGCTTGTACAGAAAGGTTCAGCAGTTGCAGTTAGTCAGTCTCAAGGTCAATTTTTCTCTTTTTGGCTTGCCAAACAACCATGGTAATGTTTGCTACAGAAAACAGTCTTCTAATTTTTTTCCCTTACACTTTATTTCTGTTGTTTATGTTCTGTGGTAAACCAAAATTATGTGGTAAAATGCTGAATACTTCTGGCAGTTAATAATTTCAAGATATGAAAATTCCTCACTGATGTTCCATGAAAAAGAAAAAAAAATCAATTTTTTTTAAAACCATATAGTTATCAATTAATGAAGTCTGAGGAGTCTTAGCCTGGAAGATATAATGGAGAAGACTAAGATTTTATAAATCAAAGCTTTAAAAAAAAAAAAAAACTTACTGACTTGAGCTACAGTCTCAGATGAAGTAGAGAAAATAAATGATATGCAGTGGTAATGATATATGTTATGATAGTGAACTGAGAGGGGTTATTATGACCTTGAAGTACCTATTTTAAAGTAACAGACTAACAGTATTAAGCCCTGTCATACAATTTTTTTAAAATGTTTTTTCTCAGATCATCACATCAATGTCTAGTTTTCTTAACAAAATGATTAAAAAACTTTTTTTTTTATATGGTCTTCCTAACTTTATTATTATACATCGCTTTCTTTACAGTTACGCTACACAAAAATTCAACAGCAAAATTACAAAGTTTACAACTATGCTGTTAAATGCTCAATTAATGTTTTTAGTCCAAAGGGCTTTGTCCCTGAAGGACTATTGCTATCATTATGCAATTTTGCGTTGGTTTACTATAAATGTTCGTTTCACTTTTCAAACTGTTGCCACCAAATGTTAGAGTCCTGCATTATATTTGAAGAAATTAAATAATGAAAATTCTGCATAAATGTATGCATATTTCTCGCATTGTGATAAAACAATGGTACATAGAACCATCGAATTTTAGGAGACGTAATCCTCCTACAAATATCAGCACGTGGAAGACCATATTTGAAATTTGCTTTATCAATTTCATATTTTGTAAAAATTTAATGAATTTTTGATTAACAAACTCAAGGATTTCAAAGCGGGCAATGGCAACTTTGTACAGAAAAAATTTTTTTATCTTCAGCGCACGAGTCTCTGTATCGGAAATTCTAAAGATATGCTCATTTTAAAACTATTTTGCAATATTGCTGTTGAACTGAATTTTATGGTTTAAGTGCGAAGAACATGATATTTAATAAATAAATGTAACACGCAAAAATGTTAAAAAACACCCCTTTGGACATAATTTAAAATCTGAAACCTTTCGAATTTTTATTATTATTTTTATTTCAGTTTTTTCCTGAGTTCATCAGATTGATATTTAGCTTTCTTATGAACTACACAATTCTAGGTACAATTTTATCATTAGACCAATGCCTAAAGTACAACGATATGCAAGGTGCATTTTTTAAATTATAAAGCTAACCTATTAAATAGTTTTACTTTTTAATTCTACCTGAATGTTACTCTCTGAAATATAAAAAATTATCTTACAGATAGACCATATAAACTGCAAGGTTAATTGAATGTTTAGTCAAATAAATATATACAATCTTTAACCAAAAACAGAGATACGAATACAACAAATTATTAAATAATATGCAATACAATTATTTTTCAATTATCAATAACACAACAGCATTTGTAGAAAAATTCAAGCATGTATCTAATAGTGAACATAGTTTGGTTTTCTTTTAAATACATATAATCATTTTGAAAAAACTCCACCCTTCAGCAGAATTACATAAAAGTGCTTGATATTAGAAAAATTACCTAAAATATAATTCTACAGATATGTACAGGACAAATTTATTTACCAAATTACAAATAACAGCATGGCAAAATTCAGACAGTACTCATCCTACTGTACATAGGAGAAAATAATTTAGAAAAATTACTCTCTAAATATGCTTATTATTCAGAGAATTTTTATGACATTGCAAACATAAATAGCAGATTCAGACAAGAGTTATGCAAAAATCAAAACTTATAAAACACGTGCTTTACAAAGACTCGGAAATGATTCAGTGGTTCAGCAATAATATCTCTATATCACAAAATTGAATTTACAGTCTATACAAATTATTTCAGAATTTCCCTAAAAGATAAGAACTAAAAATTATATACTCTTCCTCTACAGTTAAGCTGCGTTCACACTGGCCCGTTGAGGAGGCGCTTTCCGCGTACGCCAGTTCACACCAGCGCGGCAACTTTCGCTTTAAAAGTTGTCACATGCTCGCACTAGATTGCGCTTTATATGGGAAACTTGGGGGGAGGGGGGGACACGTGAAATTTTTGTGTAATATTTTGACATTTTATGATTACATTTTTTAATTAAAATGGATTTAATTTCTGCTCGATTAAAACTTAACTCTTGCTTTGTGTAAGAGAAGCAGAATGCAGTTGTTTATATTAATACGTGAGAGATGACTGCAGTAAGGAGATACAAATAATTTAATTGAAGAAATGCGCATGAACAAACGAAATTTCTTTTAATTAATTTCGCACGACACCTCATCAATTCGACGAATTTCTAGACCTCATTGAACTATTTATTCAAAAGCAGAAAACTAATTTTTGTCAGAATATCCCAGAAAAGAATTGTTTGGACTATAGGAATAGGATATCCGAGAAAAGGATTGCTGTATATATCAAACATTATATATATCTAATTTAATTTATTTATGAATTTTGTTGAATAATAATTAAAAAATCCTAATTGTATGATTCTATTTTGGAGATTAAAATTTTTCATGTGGTAGAATACCATAAATGTTCTCGCATGATGTATGATGAACTTCACTTAATTGGTTTAAATAATGCAATAAAAAAGTATATTTTTGTTTAAATATATGTAGGATTTACAGTACAGTCAAAAGTCGTTAATTCGGACACCCATAATCCGGACCTCAAAGCTAAAAACTTTCTGCGCATGCGCCGCGTTGGCACATGTGCACAGGCGTTTTACGCATGCGCGTAAGACCTTGACATATGCGTGTGCGCAAGTGCAGAATACGTTTTTGCCTGCGCGTTTAATGTATAACGGACGGTGTAAGCTAAAATTATCTAATTATCTATTTCAGTTAATGTTAATGATTGCGTTGTTCCTTAATCTTCGAATTGGATCCCGCTTATTATTTTTTGCAGACTGTAAGAGCAATTTTATAAAAGTAAACTTGAACTTTCGATTATGTCAAATAGAATTTCCGATGCTGGAACTTCCAAAGGATCTACAAAACAAAAGTATGTTTCGATGTCCAACAAACAAAAAGTGGAATTGCTGCAAAAAATGGATAAAGACATGAAGAATGTGACAGAGAGGTTAGTGAAAATGAAAAAATTTCGATTGACAAGTTAGTTGGTATTCTCGGCACAGCAATTAACGGGACTTGAACAGCGGAACTTTGTAACTGAACAAGAAATTATGTCTGTTTATAGAATTAAAGAGAAAGTATGATCGCATAAAACGAAGCAACTTAAACAACTTACATTGAAAGAAATGTTTAATAAAGTAAACAAATAAATATTAAGTTTTTTTTTTTTTTTTTTTTTTTTTTTTTTTTTTTTTTTTTGTAAATTTTGATACCCTTTAGATCATAATTGTTCTTTATTTCATAAATTACGGTTTCATATTTTTAATTTTAGAATTTCTGCATGGCATATTACGAGATTTAAACTGATGATCTATAATCCGAAAAATCGATAATCCGGAATCGCCGAAGTCCCGATGAGTCCGGATTAACGACTTTTGACTGTATAACTAAATTAAATATCACACTTAAAAAAGCAGTTATTTTTAAGTTAATAAACAACATCAATTTTTTAAAAAATTATTTTAGTCTCTGTCTTAAGTACATATTTTTTACCTTAAATGGGACAGTAATTACTTCAATTAGTCATTCATATATTAATGAACAGCCACTATCTAAACATTCATTTTATAAGGTCACTTTTATATAAAACTCATTTGAAGTAACTGCATTTTATATAATACATCCTTTTCTGCGTTAAAAATTGAATTCCACAATTAGCAAATTTGCTAATGCTCATGCAAAAGTTTTTTAAATGAACGAAAAATTATCATCAAGATTAAACCTGTAGAAACATGGTCATGCATGTTTAAAAAAACAAACATGAAGCCATTAAAATGCATAGAAATATTACATGAAATCAGATACATACTAACGAGCTTCTTTTCTGTATACATAACAGTTTTCTTAATTTTTTTTAAACAAATGGCTTACTCGTCACCACTCAGAACTCACTAATTTTTTTAATTAGATGAAACAGCAACTTTATACTAATACTAGTATCTCTTTTGCTAATCTCGTGTCAGCCGAAATAGAATCAGATCATAGTAGTAAGATCTTATGAATTATACCAAAGGCTCATTGCCAGAAGAAGGATAATGTACAGAATGGCCTGCGGAAATTATGTTTATATGAATGATGAATGAAATGAAAAATAAATGCAAGTTTCTTGTCTCCCCCTCTAAAAAAAAATTTGCAGTAGATTTAAAGAAAAGAAGTACATACGTACCATCATCAAAGGTAAGAAAAAGCTAGGCTCAAACCCGCAACACAAGCCCCTAGTAAAAGTTGAATCTTTTACTTGAGCGTGTTACCTCATAGCTACGATACCTTGCAGGTAAGCATCATTTTCACACTTTGTAGAGACATTAGGTTAATTCGAGGTCAGAGAGATGAAAAATGAGCAAACGCCTTCGCCAGGAATCGAACCACGGACCTCTGCAATACCGACTCAGTGTGCAGAGCCACTACACCATGAAGACAGTCTAGGAAAGTGGGAGAAAACCCTTATATACTCCCCCTATTAAAGGGCGACTGGGGGTTTTAGGGGACACAATTGCCAATCCTGGGTTTGGAGAATCATCATTCATAATCCTTTTAGTTTGGGCGCCACTGTAGAGTCCTTAGGTTAATTTGAGGCCGGAGAGATGAAAAAGGAGCAAACGCCTTCGCCGGGAATCGAACCACAGACCTCTGGAATACCGGCCCAGCGTGCAGAACCACTACACCCCGAAGGCAGCCTAGGAAAGCGGGAGAAATACTTTATAACTTCACCTTCAGGAAGTTGAAGAAGCATCTAGGCTACTATGAAACTAACCATAATATTTTCTGTAAATATTTTTTATAAAAAACACCAATTCCATTACAACACCACTCTGGTGATGCTTGAATCCAAAATCTTTAACTCAAGAAGCCAACATTTTATCCACTAGGCAACAAGAGCAACCTTAAATTTATGTAGATATATTTTAAGAAAAATTCAGAATCTGGGATTTCGAAATCCATATCTATTTTCTCGCAACAATCTATTGCTTTAGATTATTCTGTAAAAATTATCAACCATGTATCATTTATGGTTGATTATTAAGGATTATTATTAAGACTATACTAAACTTATTACTAAACTTGAGAATTTTCCTTTAAATAATTTATAAAGCTATTTATTCTATTAGCGTATGCATTTTTTAAATTTAATCTGAAATTTTTATTAAGATTAATCCATTTGACTTTTTTTTTTTCCCCCAATCAAGAAGAATTTTTGAAAGTGCAATCATTTAAAAACTATGGTATAAACTGGACGTTTGAAACGAGATGCCTGAAACTGATGCATCAAGCGTCAAAAAGTTGAGTCAACTCACTGGTCTCCGGCCATCCGGCAAATGCCGCCTCAGAACTCACTTCCGATAGGTTAACGCTTTACGTGCTAGTGTGAATGCAGCTTTATTAGATGAATTTACATGTGTATGAATGTATCAGTTTTAATTAACAGTAAACACTTATTTGAAGGGCTCATAATGATATTCTTAAAAATACCTATATATCTATCGATGTAGCTGTATGTGTGTTTCTGTGATAAAAAATGCATAAGGGCACTTAAAGTTTCTATGCTTATGAACGCCAGATATCCTTGGACCATTCTTCAGTATGTCAAAATGTAACAGCAGTTTTTGCCACAATCAGAAAAGTTAGTCAAAAATGCTTTGTAGCCTTTCAGCACTTATACTCACATACCTAGAACTTTCCGATACTGCATAAACCAATAGATAACAAGAAACCATAACTCACTTTTTCCTGCCAGGAGAAAAAAAAAAAAATCTGAATATCTTCCTTATGTGGAATGAGAAATTACAGCAGAAACAAGAGGTCACATTAATGGGTAATGCTGAAAAATTGAAAAATCTCATTCCTTACAGTTCAGTGCCTATTGGTCATCTTAAGAGGCTTATGTGCATTTGATGGACAATGGCTGGATTTCCACAAATTCCTTCTTCAAAATTAAACCATTATAGAACAGGTAAATGCTTGAGAACTTTACTGCATACAATTTCTTTTGCATCTGAAGTAATTAGCATAGCCGAGCATGAAAAAAGTATCAATCTTACAAAATAATGCCAAAGCACAGGCAGTGATAGTTCACAGCTTTCATGATCTGTTCTACCACAGATAAAGGTCCCAGACCCACCCATCAGAACATCCCCTAGTGTACAATACCACCACCAACAGCCAATGTATGACCTACTGTACAGGGGGAGCAACTGTTCGCTTGGAAGACCATGACGACCGTCAGCGTGATGACCTCACACGACCGTGACACGTCAACGTGATGAATGAGAAATCGTTATTCATCCGACCAGGCAACTGTTTTTCACTTATCCATGGTCCAGTCTTAATGTTCCCAGGCCCATTGAGGCATAGCTGACAATGGCGCTTAGTCAACAGAGACACACGAGTAGAACACCTGCTGCACAGTCTCATATCCAATAGTGTCTGCTGAATTGCGTGTTTCAAAACATTTGCACTTGGACCTGCAATGTATTGGGCTTTCAGCTGAGCCACTGTCTGGCACCGATTTTGATAAACCAAGTGGGACAATCTCTACCATCCTTTTCTTTGATGACATGTGGACGCCCAACACCTTGGCATTTACTGTTGATTTCACCTCATTTATTCACTTTGCATAAATACTAACAAAGGCAGATCATAAACAACCTACCAGTTATGCAGTTTTGGAGATACTCATTCTGAACCTTTGGGCTATAACAATCTGCACTCTATCAAATTCACGTAGATCAGTAGCCTTTCCCCTCACTCACAAAAGTAAGCACAAGAATGATTCCTTAAGTCCTCCTCACATATGCTTCTGCTATGCGGGAGTAGACATCAAAAGGAACATTTCTCAGAACTCAAACATTTCCAGGAAACCCACATAGTTCCGTTACCATTTTCACTCACTACAAAGACCTTGAATGCCAAACAGTAATCAATTATCACTCCGATTGGGATCGCATGATCTTTCAGATGCAGAACTTTCATCTGATTGGTTATCTTTACCCAAGACAGAGCTGCAGATGGTACATTTTCGGCAAAGTTTCAAAATATCCTGCGTAGACGGGACATGGTTTCTGTAGCTTCCAGCAGAGCTTTTTCCTCTAGGAATCCTCCCATTTAAACAATGATATCAGAATCTCATTTCTCATAAAAGTCCAATCTAGCAGGGACTGTCATTAGATGTGATAACCCATTTAATTTCTCCAGCAGCAGTTAAATACCATTTTCACTGAATCACATGTTCTCCACATCATCCAGACACATTCATTGCAAAATGTGGAATTGTCATAATGTTTTGGTTCGTCAGTGTATAATATCTATAAAAATAATACACGGTGATAACATTTCAAAAGCGATACAGATAAAAAAAGTGAGATTTGAAAATAATAGCACTTCTAGTGCTAAAAGGTGACTAAGGTGGTGGTGGTGCAGTCAGTGTTAATCACATGAATACAATATTTTATAAAATATGTAAGTTTCATGACCAAATAGATAAAAAATACAAGGAAAAAAAAGAAAGAGAGAGAACACATAAGATAAGTAAATATATACAATACCGCAGCTTCCTTTTGTTTTGCTGAAATTTCTAAACCATTTTTTTCTAAAATAGTTAACTCTTCTTTCAATTCCTGTCTAGTCTTGTTACAAATTTCTATCTCTGACTGTAAAGATGCAATTTTTTCTTCAGCTTTACTCAAATTCCTAAAAACATATTAATATAAAAAGTATTTATAAGAGTACATATTAATATAAAAAGTATTTTACGAGGGCTATCCAGAAAGTAGATTACGTTTTGGAATAAAAAAATAAACAAGTATAGGAAACAAATTTATTATATCAGATGAAAGCCACACTCAAATACTACTTTTCTACATAGTCACCATACAAATTAAGGCATTTATCGTAGCGATGTACGAGCTTGGAAATTCCTTCGTCGAAAAATTCGGCCGCCTGCGCCTTCAACCACTTCGTTACCTCTTCTTGCCTTCCATCCTGCACAAAACTTGTGGTAACCAAGCTTTTCGCTGATGATTTCGTGCAACAAACTTCGCGAAATTTGTGGAAAACTCAAAGAAAGTTCCGTTATTGTGAAATTTCGATTTTCACGGACTTTAGCATCGACTTTTTCGAGAAGTTCGGCGGTCACTATGCTGGGTCTCCCATTTCGATCTTCGTCGTGAACATTGGTTCGGCCATTTTTGAAATCTTATGACCCACTGACGCACTCCACCTTCAGTGATAATGTTGTTCCCATACACTTCACGAAGCTGCCGATAGATTTCTATCGGTTTACAGTTTTTTGCAGTCAGAAACCTTATTACTGAGCGCACCTCGCAGCTCGCGGGATTTTCAATTAACGCAGACATTTCAAACCGTCACAGTATCTGAACGGAGCACAGCACGAACCTCTCACTAGCACGGCTAGATGCAGACTGAGCTGCGCAACGCTCTGACCCCAAGATGGCCGCGCTAGCCCCGCCCCTAGCGGACACAGACGGAAACGTAATCTACTTCCTGGATGGCCCTCGTATAAGAGTACATAAGATACAAAAAAATTTGCATAACTGCTGCCCCATGAAAAATAACACCTAAATTTTTTGTCAGATTATTGGAAAAGCTTGCTTTTCTGAAATGAAGAAAACCGTTCCTTATTGAAAAGGTGTCCGCCGATAACATAACGGAGAAAACAATGCAAGGCGAAAACGTCGTGCTACAAAACATCGTGGGTGAAAACATCGCAGCACAAAATATCGTCGTCGAAAATAAAGCGGTTCAAAAACTTCGCAGTTTAAAAACATCGTCGTCGAAAATATCGTGGTAAAAAATAAAGTATCTACAAATCATCGCATGACGATAACATCGCAGACATACTTTTTTCAGGTTTTAATAATTGTAAGTGGATATTCCCATAATAATTTGTGAGCGCAAGATGTAAAGAAGGATAATTTTTACTTTCACACTTTTTTATTAACTAATAAATTTTTTCTGAAAAAGTAAGAAGGAAACTTAAGCATAGAAAATTAAATGCAACTTATAGATTATACTTTTCATGAAAAATTACCAGTAAAACTTTATAAAAATTATTTATTAATGGCCTTTGTTAGTTAACTATGTTGGTTTAAAATTCCATCAAGTGCTATAAGTTGCAATGCTTAAGTTTCCTTCTTATTTTCTCAGCAAAAATTTATTGGTTATTAAAAAATATGAAAGTAAAAATTATCCTTCTTTCCATCTTGCGCTCACAAATCCTTACGGAAATATCCATTTACAACTATTAAAACCTGAAAAAAGTATGTCTGCGATGTTATCGTCATGCGATGATTTCTAGATACTTTATTTTTTACCACGATATTTTGTACCGCGATGTTGTCTCTTTGCGATGTTTTCACCCACGATGTTTTGTAGCACGACGTTTTCGCCTTGCATTGTTTTCTCTGCGACGTATTCGTCTGCGATGTTTTTGCCGCGATATTTTCGGCTGTAACCTATTGAAAAGAATACTGACATTTTCTTGCACTAATTAAACAGGTGAAATACATTTTTAATGCTTACTATTGTTGTAATTAGTTAAAAAGGTCTTTAAAAACCTTTAAATTAAGGACACATCATGAATTTTTTACTTAATTTCTAAAGGTTAGTTCATTTTAATTACAGCTAAGCACATGAGAGTTTTCAGCTAAAGGAGAGATGCCTTCTTTGACAGAGCTACCAGATATAACTTTTAAAATGAAGGGTTTTTTCCTCCAGAAATGATTTTAATTAGCAAAACTTTATGTTTGCAAGTAATAACTTAGTTTAAAGCACTGATAGAACAAAATTTGAATCCAATAGCTATTTAAAAATTTTTTATGTTCAAGTGCCATGGTGCAAAAATGTCAGATGTTGAATAGTACTAAATTTGCTCTTTATAATATAATTTTTAAATACTGATGATAAGAAGGGGGCAAGGAATATTTCACTGAACAAGAAAAGAGATGAACAGTAAAAAATATTTTTTGTTGTTCTAAAACCAATGCATTGAAACTGGCTTTAAAAGCACAACAGAAAATTTAAACAATCTTCAAATGTGAAATGACGAGAAACATTATATAGGGAAATACAAATTTCAAATTTGAGTATCCAGTAGAAATCAACCTTTAGCACATAGGACTAGATTAGAATTTGCTAAGACGTATATAAATAAACCTCAAGAATTTTGGAACTCTAATTATGTTTGTCAATACAAATTCGATATTTTTTGTTATGATTAAAGACAGAAAGTGGGGCACAGGCCTAATACTTAGCGGGGGGGAACCAGAATACATGCAATAAATATTTTCAATAAAGAAACAAAACCAATATTTTGGCAAAAGGTAAATAAAATTCATGCTGAACAGACTAAAGAAAATCCAACTCAGTATATATTCGTAAAATCGTAATAACTTCTCTGCATTGCGTCATTTCTAGATCACTCTATGTCCTGCGCAGCTCTGATGACGTAATAATTGAGAACTGAAACTGCCATTGTAACCCAAAACTTTTCTCTTCGCCGTGCTTCCATCTTTCATAACTACGGACTTCAGCTTTTGCTCTCTACTATGCTAAGATGTAATTTCGCTGGCTTGCTTTCTATCTCATCAATATCAAAAATGTAAAACTTCTGTGGAAAGGCACGACTAGAGTGCCAAGTGATTGTGGCCACAAATATCAGTTGCAAATAAAAATGGAATTAAAACTGCCTCGACTGCCAAGTTCTTTAGATATTACCAAGTTAGCATACTACGCAATGAAAATCTTCTTCAATATGGGTCTAATCACGCATCTACAGTGTTTCGTCTTTTCCTTTGCTTTTATTATGACATATATATATATATATTAGGAGGGGAATTTTAATAGTAAAAGCTTAAAAATATTTTAGACAAATTTAACATTTTCTTTGTTCTTTTTTTAATAGCTAAGACACAAAATACTTTTCCCAAGCTTATCCAAAGAATTTAAATGTTTAAACTGAGATACTTATAACACCTGAGCTGTGCTGTTTTTAAATTTTTCCCATTTTAGTGGAACATATATGCTTTATTTTTTGCATTATTATTTCATTAATTTATATTGCACTAGCCAAGCATATTTACTTGTATTAAATTAATATTTTTTCCCATGCATATTAAACGCACACATTAAGGTCAAGTATAACACCACAGCAAAAAAAATCAATTTAATTAACTATGGAATAAATAAAATTAAGTTAAAAAGCAATGGAACTGCAGCAACAGAAACTAAACTTATTATAAAGATCTCAAAGGATCACATATTTGAAAATGCACTTCATCTAATTATATTATTCTATAATACTAATACATGTGATGGTTTTCTTGAGAAAAAATGAAAATGGCTGCTTTATTAGGATTCGCACTGCAAGCCAGTCTTTCCCAATTTTTCTTTTAATACCCTTTAAAAATTGCTTATACAAATTACCAAGTCTATTTTATTTAAATGTGATAAAAACTTTATTTCGAAGAAAACTTTCAATGGTCTGTTGCCAGAATTCTGGAAAGTGGTGTTTAATTTTTGTTGTTTATAGTAAAGCATATCAAAATTATATGCCCAAGAAGAAGAAAATTTTGGAAGAGCACTTCCTAAGGTAAATTGAGTTATGTTACACTACTGAAAATTACAAAAACCTCATACAGCCAGCCTGATCATTCATTCTAAGAGGGAGAAATCTGTGACTAGCTATCAATGTTTTGTTCAGTAATTTCAGCCACATATTGGTCATATAAAAAGTCTCAGTGCTTTTTTTTTTTTCCACTAGATAGTGTTGATGCCTATATATCTGGCAACACTCACCTGATTGTCTCAAACAAACATTGTTTAAAAGGTAATATTCAGCTTCCATTGTTTGTGAAGATAGTTTTTTGATTTGTTGCTCATGTAAAAAGTTATATGAATTTGAAAATGAGTGAAATAGCTGAAGAAATATGCCATGTAATACTTTTTTACTATAAAAAAGGTAAAAATGCTGCAAAAACATGCCAAAAAATTATGAAGTGTGCGGTGAAAATCCTGTGAGTAAACGAAGGACCGAGGAAAGGTTTACTCGATTCTGTTCTGGAAATTTCACTCTCAAAGATGCACCTTGCTCTGGTCAGTCAGTCATTAAAAAAAAATCGATGACATTTTGCAACTAGTGGAGCAAGACTGGCATGCAAGCCATCAGAAAATAGCAGAGGCACTAAACATCAACCACATGACAGTTTGGAATAATTTGAAAAGAGCAGGTTACAAAAGGAAGCTTGATGTTTGGGTGCCACAAATTCAAAGAAATTTGATCGACCAAATTACCACCAGTGAAATGCTGCTGAAATGCAATGAAATTGAACCATTTTTGAAGCAAATCATTACAGGCAATAAAAAATGGGTGAAATACGAGAATATCAAATACAAGCGATCATGGTCAAAAGCCAGTGACCCTCTGCAAAAGACTTGAAAGCCCGGATTGTCACCAATAAGGTTATGTTGAGTGTTTGGTGGGATTGCAAAGGAATTCTCCATTACGAGCTGCTGCAACATGGCGAAACCATCAATTCGGCACTGTACTGTGCACAACTCGACCATTTGAACGAAGCAACCCAGAAAGAGCGACCAGAATTGGCTAACAGAAAGGGAGTTGTGAAGCATCACGACAATGAGGCCACACACATCTTTGATGACTCGGAACAAATTGACGAAGCTTGGTTGGGAAGTTTTGATGCATCCATCGTATAGCCCGGACCTTGCTCCATCTGACTACCATTTGTTTCAGTATCTGCAAAACTTTCTTCATGGTAAAAAACTGGCAGACCAAAGAGCCACTGAAAATCACTTGGCCAAGTTTTTCGATGATAAACCACAGAAGTTCTACAATGATGGAATTATGAAGCTACCTCAAAAAAATGGCAAAAGGTTATAGATAATAATGGTCAATATGTACTTGATTAAAACTGATTTTCAATAAAGAAAATTTTTGTTAAAAAATGTATCAAAAAAGTGCAGAGACTTTTTATATGACCCAATATTTAAAAATTAAATAACTGAATTTGACATTACAAAAAATAAGCTAGCAAAAGTTACAAATTTGACTACTGTTTAATTATACATACTTTTCTGACTTTTTTAGCAAAGCAGTACATTTAATAATCCCTTGAGTAGTCTGATTTATTTCAGCATTTAATTTATCAATTCGCTTTTGAGCCGTCCCAAGTTTGCCTTTGGTTACAGCCAAGATTTTGTCTTGTAAACTATTAAAGATATATAGATAAGAATGAGAACATTAAACATATGTAGCATAAAAATGATTCAAAATCTTACATAATTATGAGTGATGTCATTTAAATATCTATTAAGTAAACACACTTTTTAACTTTATCTTCAATGATGCTTGCATCATCAGCAGCTTTAGTGTAACCTGCAAATATAATGATATGTTTATGTCTATGGGGAGAAAAACAAACAAAAACACACAATTAATTTTACACTACTATCCTCAAAACATTAACAAATAAATAAATAAAACCAACAATCTGATGCTTCAGTTTCCAACTTAATATATGAAAGCTATCTCAAACTTGCACAAAATGAAGAAATCAATGTTAAAGTATACTATGTTAATTAACCAATTATTATAATTTAAACCTTTAATCATTAATTTTTTCTTTCCAGTTAATCCTCCCCAGAATGCAAGTTGGTAGATGAGTATTTAACTAGAGGCTTTTGAAGGTTTTAGTGTTAGAGCATTTGGCAGCACCTGACATTTACATTTGATCACCCAATATTGCCTTATTATAATGATGACTATGCTGGCTGGAAAGGATTGAAGGAACCAACCAAGGGAAGCTGAGACATTACTATGTAGGAGAACCTTTTGAACGCACTGCCTTTGACATCTTGGGACCGCTACCACTAACTGCTGATGGCAACAAATACAGCCTTACTGTCATTCATTACTTCACAAACTGGCCTGAAGTGTGTCCTATCCTTCATTAACAGGCTATCATGGTAGCAGAAGTAATAATACAGCATTGGATTTCTAGGTATGGACTGCCTCTTCGGCTACATTCCACCAATCAAGGGATTTCATCTGGGCTGTAATTAAAGAACTCTGTAAAGTACTCGACATAGGCAAAACTCAAACAACGTCTTTACAATCCACAGTCAGACAGCATGGTAGACCCATGATTCCATGATATTCCCCATTACAGATGTTCTTTAGTCGAGACCTTCATCTGCTTTGTGATCTCTTGGTTAGTTGTCCTCTGGATGTACCTTCATTGCCTGAGGCTTGCATCCAAGATTTCCAGGCATGGTTTGAAGAGATGCACAGTTTTGCAAAAAAAAAAAGTGAGTCAACTTGATGACGGAGAAGATGAAGACCCAATATAACACAAGATCTACAGGACATTGATTTAATGATGCTGACAAGGTGCGAGTACAGAAAACCAGTTTGACGGAAAGAATATTCTCCGAAGCTACAGTCACCCTAGGACTTTCTTTACACCGTCCTAAACAGGCTGAACAACGTCTTGGTTTGGCTCCATAAGTCATCAAATTCTAAGCCTTAAATCATTCATTACGGTAGGCACCCCTTACTATGGAAATATACATAGTACATAGTCCCCATACTGTAACTAGTATTTTAACACCATGGTCCCATTTGTATAAAAGTTTGCAAATTTGTGCATTTAATTATTGATTTAGTATTTAATTTGTTGTATGTTCTTTACTGAAATTATTGCACTGATTTACCTTAGTCGTAAGTATGGCTTCCTGTCCAGGTATTGTACTGCTTGGAATGTGCAGTCTTTGGAAAAAAGGCAAAGTTTGTATATATATATGTTACCATGAAAGACTGAAATTGGAAAATGTCGACATTCACCGGTGAATGTCAACATAAACCAAATATGTTGGTGAAAGACTGAATATTTGGTTATATTCTTGTAAATTCGGACCATCACCGATGTATGTCGACAATCACAGATATACTGTGGTGGAGGTCGAGTTCAACATAGGGGCGACTGTCTGTCGCCAAATCCTTTGCTCTGCTACGATTGAAGTTATGCAGCATGTATTTGTTATACTCTGGAACACTGTTTGTCAGTCTTATGCTAGGTTTGATGGTACGTGCAACGTTTTCTTAAAGTTTGATTTTTTTAAATCCAATACCCTAATTTATGCTGAATGGATACTGCAGTGAATAGTAAACTTTTCCTTAAAAAGTTAAATGCACTAATTGCGAGTAAATGAGAAGACAATTGTTTTTATTTTTTCAAACACATTTCTCCTCTCCGGGATTGATTACTCCTTATGAAGCTATGTTTGGCATTAATCCAAGAAGAGGCATAGCATCAGTTTTTTTTGCCTGGCGAACAAATCGCAAATATTGAAACCGAAGAACAACTCTTAAGAAATTGCTAATACTTTTGAAACCGAAGAACAGCTTGAAGAAACTGTTAATACTTTGAAGAAAATCTAAGCAGTGGCCATATCGAAAACAAAATTCCAAAGAAAAATATTGAGGAGGACCTCCAACCTACTGCGTCTTCGTATCAAGACTGGACTGAACAAACATGTTAATTTCTATAAAAAGACTGGCCGCGAAAGTGAATCTTTTACTGCAAGCAACAAAAATGTTATGAACCTCAAAAGAAATTTTCTCTTGCTCAAATTAGTGATACTGTTCGTATACAAGTCCCCAATGTCGACCATGGTCGTACAGATGGCCAAAATGTGTTGGCAGTTGTTGTTGGAATAAGTCTCTGGGTTTTATAAACTAGCAAATAAAAATGACACCTTCAAGCAGCTTTATACCCGTAATCAGTTTGTAATTTGTAAAGAAAAGTTACTTTCCGTAGATAAGATTCCTTCTCAAGTAATGTCGCTGAGAGAAGCAGCTGCAGCTAATTCTAGAAGTGCAGGGCAGGGCTATACATGCTGTCACTGCAAAAGGAAGTGTCCACAACTAAATGCAGCTGTAAAAGCAAGGGACTCTTGTGCAATTCAAAATGTCATAAAAATTTATGTTGTTGCAATAAATAAGATTTCAATCACATAATTAAGTTTTTTTTGTATTATTTTCTTTTCTCCTTTAGAATGTATTGTTTAAAAGTTTACATGTGCTGTTACGTAAGCTTTTTCATATTTTGACATAAACGGTATAAATGCAAAAGTAAAAAGTTCCTTATTGACTAAATATAAAACTAAATGCTTAACATTTATCCAAGCACGACTGCTGTCATTATTAAGCAGTGAAGTAATATCGAGTAGCCCTTCTCGCGTTAGAATCAAAAGCTACATGTCACGCAATGAAAACACCTCTATAGAGTTCCGAATAACTCTTCTCACCAGGGATCGGTTACTCCTCTTAGCAAGACAGGCGAAAATGTTACATCACCCTTGAAGTTTTATGGCGCCTGAAATACGGAGAACAAAATGCAAATCTCTGACATATTCAACATTCACCATTAGTGCATGGTGAGCGTCGACATTTGCCTGTGTAAGTCAGAAATAAGGATATTTGGCAAATATTTTGGACATGCACCAAGCAACTATGTCAGTGGTCGGCAAAGTGCGGCTCCAGAGCCGCATGTGGCTCCTTGCCTCCTTAAGTGCGGCTTATGGTACAAATATCCACGGAAGGCACAATAATATTTTCATTTTAAAAAAAAACTTGGTAAGAAAAAAATTACATCTTATTTTGATAAATTAAAATGTAAACCATGTACAAGCTACCGGCATGCGTGTGCATGCTTTTTATAAAGTACTGAAGGTACAAATTGAATTGGCATCACAGAGCAGCAGTTGCAGTGTGAACAGTTTTGTCTTATCTACAGTGTCTGCCATAGTCCTGTCTTATTAAAAGTTGTATTTTTTAATCTAGCTGCACATCTTACAGGTATTTTTATACAATTTTATTACACCTGCTATATATGTTTGTGGTTACAGTACAAAATTTGTAATCGATTTTTCGATAATTTCTATTTGTCCAAATGTTGGAAGTTTTCTTCCATTTTTGGTCATATTAAAAGTTTTGTTATTCTGATGATGGAAAAAAATGTTTTTTTCTTTTTAGTGCAGTTACATATATTAATAAAATTGTATTTTTAAAAAGATTTTTTAAAATTTTTATTTTTATCAATTTAATAATGATAATAATTTTCTACTGGTAGCTTTAGGAAAAAATATATTTGGAATACACTGCTCAACATTGAAAATGCAACACCAAGAAGATGATGAAAGTGATGAAATTTGGAAAAAAGACAGAGACAGCAAGCAGCAATAAGTGATCTTTCTTTCAAAATGATAGTCAGAAAATGCAGAGCGAGAATGGCGTCGGCTCGATAGCATGTGGGACCACCGCGGACAGCAATGCACAAAGAAACACGTCTAGGTACAGAGTCAATAAGAGTGTGGATGGTGTCCTGAGGGATGGCTCTCCATTCCCTTTCAACCATTTGCCACAGTTCGTCTTCTGAACGAGGCAAGGGCAAAGTCTGCAAACGGCGTCCGGTCAAATCCCACACATGTTCGATTGGTGACAGGTCAGGAAATTTCAGTGGCCAGGGAAGCATCTGTATACCTTGCAGAGCATGTTGGCAGATGCGAGCACTGTGTGGTCGGGCGTTATCCTGCTGAAAAACTGCATTAGGCAGCCCCTGAAGGTAGGGGATTGCCACCGCCCACAGTACATTATCCAAGTATCGTTGGGCCGTCATAGTGCCCTGAATACGAACTAGAGGTGACCTGGAATCGTAGGCAATAGCACTCAACTGCAATCGTAGGCAATAGCGACTGTCACTGGATAAACAGAAGTGTGACTCATTTGAGAGCACGACGTTTCACCATTCTGTTATCCATCGCTCCAGTCCGTCACCATTCTAAACGTTGGCGTCTGTGTTGTGGGGTCAATGGCAGTCTTCTTAATGGACGGCGTGCATGCAGGGTACATTAAAAAAATTGACGGGAAATGGTTCTGGTCCACACGGGAACATCCAGGGTATCTTGCACATGCTGCAGAATTGCGGTACAAGTGGCTTGCGGGACCGCCACTGGCAGATGCGTCGATCCACACATGCTGACGTAACTCTGGCTGCACCTGCACCCCTCCTTCTTCCCACATTTCCTTGTTCCAACCAGGTTCCCCATAGCCGATGCACCGTGCTCGGCTATTTCGGGATTTTAAGAACAAAGCAGATATTCTGAAAATAATTAGAGTTACCATTGTCTTCCAAAACCATTAAAGATAAAACAATTAAAATATGTTCGAATATAACCACCCAGCATATCGAAGATCTGAAATTGCTTTCGGCTTTATCAATAGCAGTTGACGAGTCTTGTGACATAAATGATACAGCGCAAGTTTCACTTTTTGTAAGATTTATGTCTCATTCAGGCCCGAAAAAAGAACTTTTAGGATTATTGCCACTCAAAGGTCAGACGCGTGGAGAAGATATCGCCAATGCTGTAATTGAGTGTATAGATAAACATCATATTCCCCTTGATAAAATTGTGTCGATTTCAACAGATGGGGCCAAAAGTATGATCCGCATAAGAAAAAGAGTTGTTGCTATTTTGAAAGAAAAAATTAATCCCGAGATACTTGTTTACCATTGTATCATTCACCAAAAAGCGCTTTGTGCGCAAACATTTCCAGAAGAAATTTGTAAAGTTATGGAATTAGTGATTACCATTATCAACTCCATTTCAGCTAAAGCTCTTAATTATCGCCAATTCAAAGAATTTTTATTTGAAATGGAGAGTGAGTACGCTGATCTTCTGCTTCATAACAAGGTACGTTGGTTATCAAAAGGGAACGTTTTAAAACGGACATCATTTTTCATTGTAGCTTGATCGCCCTCTAGCTTGAAGAATTACGACTTTTATTAACAAATGACTTTTTTCCATTTTACTCTTACTTTTGTGGCCATGATGAGTAATCTTAGCTGAATCAGCCATTTTTACATTTTGAAGCTGTTTTGTTCTTCTAACAACTTGACTGACACCATTTTGAATTCTTTCCATGTCTTTTCAAGTCTCTCAACCCCTTTTTCACTCGGGGGGATACGAGTTCCCGCCAAGTACAATCTAATCGCATTGGCTGATACGAAATGACAATGTTTCTCCCGCCTACGTCACATGACGAGAGGGATGGCTTTGTACGACTCGGAGGGGATTACACCCCTTTTCAAATATGTTTCGCGATCAAGAGGACGGCTCAGCCACAGGTCTGTTTTTTATGTTTTTTAAAATCTTTTTCTTGGTCTTAGCAAGACCTACAACGTTTGTTTTCATTAGTATTTCATTTCTTTAGATTTTGTTTTCAGAACCATAATTTTTATAAAGGTTTTATTCTTTAAGCTAGCAGGACCAGCCAGTAAGTTATTGTATAATTTGACTAATAGCAGCCTGCCATTTATTTTATTTTAATTTTGTTTTGCTCGGTGTTGCATTTATTTTTTCTTGCACCTTAATATGTTTTTTCAGCGGACGCGTCGGGAAAATGGAACAGAGAATTGAAGCTCCAAAAAGATTTTTTCGGGACAATTAATATTATTTAAAAATTTTTTTCGTCAAACAAGAGCTTCAACTGTCTGTTTCGGCAAAACGCGTAATGGTGTTAGCTTGATTTGACATTCAACCAATTTTCCCTTGAAAAGCCTGGTTAGAGGTCCAATTGGGCTAATTTACCATTTTCCGCTTTGTAATTTTTATCATTTTTTAGTTTTTGGAATTTATGTTTTATTATTATGTTTTAATTTGTTACGTCGATCAGTTTTTTTATAAGTGTTAACTTTACACATATCACATCGATAGGTTTTGCTCTTTTTTTTGTGCATTCACATGTTTCCAACAATTGATTTTAACAGTTTTTTGTTCTGTACTTTATTTTACGTGTAGGCTGTTTTTTTTTCACCTTTCCATGTTAATATTTTTAAAAAATACTGCGTTGAACTATTTCTTGGAGCCACAGCTCCTGGTAACTTTTCAGTGAGCTTTACAATATTTCTTCCTATTAAAAATAATCATACATATAGAAAAAATTAAATATATTCATATATATTTTATGCTCATTAAAAGCAACTATTTCAAGTGAAAATACAATAACTCTTACAGTAATATTCAATAGCTTTGTATATTCCACAAAGTGAAACGTATATAATGATTAACAATTTTGAAATGGAAAACATTAAAAATATGCTTTTTGAAAAATGGCAAATAATATTAAGTAGTATAAATAAAACATCTGCTCCAAAATTTATGTTTAAGGAAAACCCTTGTTCATTCTTTGCATGCTGTTCCAAAAGGTGTTTATGAAATTGCAAAACTCACAGTTATGTCCCAGTCTATGTTCAGTTAGTAGACTTTGGCAAGTTTGTTATGACTAAGTAAAGAGCTTAAATCAAACTAATGAAAGACAACAAAGAACAACTAATGTCGGCAGTATACTATTTTCTATGAAAGTTTAGTCTATACAATTCATTACACAAAGTGTAATTAGTTCCTTAAAGCTACTTTTCAATAACAAATTTTAACGTTAGAAAATATTATATACAGTACTGTGAAAGCTCATGTCTTTTGAGAATAAATTAATGCTATTAGTTTTTATTTTTCCTTTTTTAGCTGGAGTTAAAAAAAAATCATGTTTTAAAAATAAATTTCTGAATTTTTGATCGAATAGCTAATTTGGCGCCCCTTCTATTTGTTCACCCGAGGCAAGTGCCTCACCCTCGTCCTGGCCCTGCTAGATGTCATAACACTCATAAAAATGAGAGCATTTAAGTAACAATTAAGAACACAAATCATGAGCACATAAAGATCTGCATAAAGTTTATATGCTTTCAAAGGTTATCAGGTTTAAAAATGAATGCAGCAAAATGTAAATTCGTGGCCAAAGAACTTTGGTACCTGGGATATAAGATATCAGAGCAGGAAGCAGATGCTGAAAATTAAAAAATTTCAAAGATAAAAAATTATCCACCATATAATGCGCCAAAAAAATAAGTATCATTTCTAAGCTTGTGCTCCTTTATAGAACATTCATTTAAGATGTTGATAACATAGCAGAGCCTTCATTAAATTCAAAAGCAAAAAAGACTAGATTAACTTGATTGGCAGAAGCGAACATGGCTTTTGAAAGGCTTAAGTATATTAATCCAAGGCCTGGCCTTAAAATTTCTTTAAGTGTCCAGAAAGTTAGAAATCACTGCAAGTGCATCTGATTTTGCAATAGGAGAGGAGAGCTTGTGCAAGAAGGAAAACCCACAACATATTTTAATAAAACTTCTAATTCAGCTAAAAGAATTTATACTGCTACAGAGAAAGAAATACTAGCACTTCTGTTGGTCATTCAGAAATTTAGACTTCATTTGTATGACATTCAATGTCTACATTCTGAGAAAAATTTCTCTCTTCATTTGTAACATGAGCTCTTAAACCACAAAAATATATTTTAAAAATGAAACATACCACAGGGATAGTAAATATTGTTTTAATGCATTTTTATTTTAATCAATCGTATTAAAATGTAGATTTAAATACGCCCATGAACTGTGTTTACTGCTTAGTTGTTACTCGACAACCTTTCCGATTAAATTTGAAAATTAAATATCTTAAGCTTCATTGAATGGCAAAATGCTGGTGCATGAAATATAAAAGTATTTTATTTCTGACAGTAGCAACCCACTGCTTTTAAATAGCTGGGTCTGCTGATTAAAATCAATAATCTGGGGCATTGGAGATAAAACTGTTTTATTTCAAAAAGTGTTGCCACTGCTTGCTGAGTTACTTAAACTTCATTTAGTATAAACAACACTCTCTTCATACTTATCCCACATAAAATCTACAATAAAATTGTAAAATATTTTAAAACAGCATATCTTTAGAATTCCTGAGAATAAGTGTTGACATACATTTTTTTACATTCACCATTTCTTTAAAAATAATGCACGGGAAAAATATTTCAGGGCAACATCCTTTTATTTGTGTTGCTACATATTTTTTACTTTCACTATATCATTTCTTTAAAAATAATGCATGACAATAACCTATGATGGCCACATTTGAAAAGTCACTTGGACAAAAAAGATGAGGTTTGAGACTAATAGCACCTGTGATGCTAAAAAAAGCAGAAACTAATATTTGAAAGCTAAAAAGATTAATATATATATATAGAGAGAGATAGATAATTTAAATGATAATCTTAAAAATACATTCAATTTAACATATATAGTTTGAAAAAAATGCTATAATTAAAAAAAAGTGAAATATACTTTTTCTTCTCTTTTCTATACAGGCTTCAAGTTCTTTAACTTTTTGTTTGTTTGGGACCACTTCTAAAATTTTTATCTCCTGCTCTCCTATTTGAGTAGAAAGCACATTTCTTCTATCTAAAAACCCCTAAAAATCGAAAATAATATCTTGATAATACTATTTTTTTATAACTATAAAATCATACGAACAATAAAATGATACATACATTATAATTCTGACGTGTTTTCTTAATTGAATGTTTCAAGGATGAAAGTTCTTTTTCAGCTGCATTAATAACATCTTTCAACTCAGATTTCATTTTTTTCACTTCTGCAGCATTTTTCATTAGCAATTCCAATTCAGCAGACATTTTCTGAACTTCCTGCTCAGAAACAGTACTATCAGCAATACATTTCCCCATACGACCTTTAAGTACTTTACCACCACCTCCACTCATTGTGCCTGGGGGGGAAAAAAAAAAAAAAAAAAAAAAAAAAAAAAACTTAAATTAGAATATTAATTTTTTCTTCTTTATTTTAAAACCTTAATTTTATATTCTTTATACGGCAATGCTAAAACTGTGAAACAATAATATTTTCAACTGTGAGCACAATTTGAAATCATTAATATCAAACAAAAGTTGATTTTAAAAAAACTTCTAAATAATTAATCCCTTATAAATAATTTTTATAAGGGGTCTGCAAAATCACTTTGAGCATTTAAGCAATTTTCCCATTGCTTCACCAGATTGAATATACTCGTCAGATAAAGTTTCTTTTTCTGCTGCTTGAATAAGTATGAAACTGCCAGCTGCACTTCTTCATCCAAATGGAACCATCGTCCTTTCAAGGACTTTTTAAAGGGACTAAAGGAACGAAAATTGCATGGGGAGAGATTAGAACTCTAAGGTAGCTGCTTGAGCGTCTCTCAGTTTAGTGTCTGTAGCTTCTGCATTGTGACATCTGTTATAGTAGGATGTTCATTATCATGAAGCAGAATCCCCCCATTCTGCAGTTTCCCTAGACATTTTGCCTTAATTGGAAAAGTGTAATCTCTCCATCGGTTTGCAGTACCATTCCCCACTGTTGAGATGCCTGGATCCCTGAAATCGATAAGGAATGAGCCCTGGAAATCAAACAATAGGGTAAGCATTACTTTTGCAGCAGATGACTGGTTCTTGAACTTCTAAGGATGAGGGGACGAAGGATGACACTACTGCAGTCAATGTTTTCAACTCAAGTTCATAGTGGTGGCATCAGCTTTCATCATCTGCAACAATGTGCTCAAGGAACATGCTGCCTTAAACACTGAAACACATCAGGTGTTTCAGGCAAACTTACTCCAGCCAGATAATGTGTTGCATGCTACCAAAACTTACGTTGAGATCCTTTGAAAGCCCACAAATGGATATGCAATTTTCTGCCCTAACTGCATCAACTGCCCACTTGGTGTTGTTTGCAATGGATGTGGAAGGCCTTCAGATTGACTTGAGTCAAATTGTGACCAGCACGGAGCAGAGAACCATTCCACAAGAGCAATTTTAGACACGCAAGATTTTCCATATACATTGTTGATTCTATGATTGATGTTTACTGATTTATGCCAGCCAAAAAAGAACATATTGGTCTTGTTTGGATGCATTTGGTAATAATGTTGCCATGGTTAACGTTCAAGCATTTTCCACATGCTCTTTGGAAATAGATGAATGCCACAATAATCCCATGCCAAGATGTCAATGCTTATATACTGCATCAATGCAGTAATTCGCATATACGCAGCAGCAACACACTCAAACGGAAACTCTTTAATTGTCCCTTACATTAATTTAAAAGACAAACTGAACGCTCAGTATAGAAATACAAAAAAGATTCAGATACATTATATAAAAATAGGTGTAAACTAAGATTATAAGAAAAATTAAAAACATGCACAGAAATACTATATTAAAAGTAACTTTGAATAGCAAGTTGCACTTAATTGTATGTCAAAAGATGCCCATCTTTATGCTGAGAGTTTAATTAACAGATTATAACTATTAGCCTCCTGTAAAATATCAAATGTGTCAGGAAAGAGAGAGAATAAGCAGCATCATTTGGCAATAACCCTCTATACATATTCAACCATAAACTTCTTTAGCTGATGTAAGATTCACAATAACCTATTCTTCAAATTTAATTTCTTAAAACATCACCTGATAACATAGCTTTATAAATTTGATGCAAAATGCATTTAAAATATTTACTGAGACCTGTCATTTTTTTCATCTATTCAAAATAAAACTACATACAACGTTTTAAATTTTCTTTCATCTGATATTCATACAACTTTAAAATACAAAATTCTCGCATTTAAGGAACAATTGCTTCATCTCCCAACTGAAGTTGTTTAACGTTATTTAAAGCAGGGGTCAGCAACTTTTTGATCCTCAAGGGCACAAAATAAAATTTTAAACTCTTAGTGAGTGCCACCCATGCACGTTTCATAATCAAACATCAAATGCAACGCTGCAAACTAGTTTTGTTTAAAAGATATAACTTTATTGAACTCAATAACAATTATTTATATTCTTAAATATTTTTTTAATACATCAGTGTGAAATGTGTGTTTGTAATTCGTCTGCTAACTAATTATAATCAACAATTTGAGTTGCATGTTCTTAATTATCTAAGTGTGACTCAATAAAGTTTTGAACAACACTTTGATTTCAAATATGTCATATTTGAAAACATCTCACAATTAAAGGGTATTTGAGCAATAAGAACTAATCTTTACTGCACATGATTTTAAAAATAGGATACTGATTTCTGTTTAACAATCTCCAAAATATCTTTATTATTTTTGTAAGATTTTAAAATAACATCATTTTGCAAGCTTGCAATTTCTAAGTTTTCCATATTGTTAAGATGAAAATATTTAAAAATTGGTGTAGCCATGTTTTCTTCATCAGTAATAAAAAAGGCATTCATAAAGAATTTTAAAGTAGGCTCTAAGTCAACAAATCTAGAATCAAACTGAGTTTGCAATGCAGATATTATTTGAAGATATGAGTCTATTAATATCATATTCTTTTAGATTTTCCACCCCTTTTTTCTATTAGAGAAATATGGTAGCAATTTCTTAAGAGACAAGATCTATACAATTGTAAGATTAATTTGAAGCTATAAATAATGCTGATCATATCAGCAACATAAAGTAGTTTCCCTTCCCTGTAGTTTAAAATTTAGCTTTGATGGTCAAAAAAGCTAAATTTGTTAACCAATTTTGTCTTCCAGCTGTTTGTAGTTTTATCCTTGGGATGCTGTGTATCTTTGTCATTTTACAACAGCAGTTTAAATAGTCTATTTGCACTCCTTTTGTCTTCATTACTGAATTGATTATTTTGCAATAACAAAAATTTCATTCTGGAATTCAATGATTGCTGGTGTATAATGCAGTGATATGTAATAAAATTTGGAGGTTTGTGCAGCGTCAGTTGTTATTGAAGATCATTTCTCAATTGGTATTTTAGAGTCAATCAAAAACGTTTTTATTGCACAAAATAAATGCTTTCCTCATGTGCGCTCTTTAAACAGTAGGATTTTTAGAAACTCTTCTTTTGCAGTAAAATTTGCAAAGGCCATCTTGTCACTTATTGCCAATTGTACAGCACCTGTTATATCTTCGATTCCTCCAGTTGTAAGGGAAAAAAATGCACATTTATTCATATCTTTCATCAGTTGGGTTTCTAAGTGGACTGCAATTGTTTCATTTCCCCTTGTAACAGTTATAGCTGACAAATGCATGGCATTTATGGCTGAAACAATTTCTTTTTTATTTTTAAAATCTGCAAAATGTACATCTGCAGATTCCAACATAGTTCCTTTTATTATTGCTCTATCCATATATGGCTTTTTTTTTCTTCTTAGTAAGTATATTATTATTATTACAAGGACACAACCCCGATCCTCCTAGCCGGCCGCATGATAAAAAAATGGGACTGGCCCACACACACACACACACACACAAAAAAAAAAAAACCCATAAAAGTCAAAAAATCTGAGTCTCAGTGCCGAATTCCAATTCTATCTTTGTTCGTATTTATAATCTTCATCATTGTCTCTGCAAAATCTTTCAAATTTGAATAGTTCCTTTTAAAAATCTTCCTTACAATTCTTTCTATATTTCTCTCTAGCAGTCCAGGTAAGCGTACCTTCATTGACAAAGTGCCTGGCGTCTCCAAACTTTTCATATATTAAGCATTTATCATTATTCTTTAGATGGAACTGATTAAAATAAACCGAGAAACGACCATGATTAGCCAGTACCTGATTTATAATCAACATTATTTATAATATTCATCTTCTTGATTACCTGTACTTTTTCATTAACTCTTTTTTTCTTATTAGATGACTCCCAGCAAAAACTCCGTTCTGTATAAATCCAGTTTTCCATTTCAGCAAAGATCTTTTTTCTTGAATCTTAGATATCAAAATTATCGGTCCCATCCCCAAGTGCCGCCATCTTAGCAAGTGTGTCTGCTCTTTCATTTCTGACAATTTCACTGCATGCTTTCACCCAGTGTAATTTAACAATGCATTTTCTTTCATTAATCAGTCAATTTTTATGATCTGCTTGGGCGAGTGCCTGAAGTGCAAATAGGGCATCAGTATAAATATTTATAAAACATTGAACTGTTAATTTTTTTATTAATCCAAAGCCTCTGTCAATGTGTATAGTTCTGCTTTATAAACCAAATTCATTGGTTTAAGTTTTATTCTCACATTGTCTATCTCCACTTCATGGAAAAAAATTACCACAGTGCTACCCACTCCCCCATCAATTCCAGAACCATCTATAAAAACGTCTATTTCACCACCAGAAGGAAACTCAAGATCATAAAATAATATAAATTGTGTCATTGGGTAAATAATATCCTCATTCTCTTGTTGAAAGGCCATACTTGTGAATACTTTTTGTCCAATTTCAGTATCTATAATAATTTTATTAGCTAAAAGAAACTTTTTTGTAGTATAATTTGTATAAAATCGAGAGGGGCGGAACACCGTAAGGGCGCATGCAACTTCAGTCGAAATGGTTCTGAAGGCTCTTGTAAAGGAAAGAATACAGCCTCTCTGCAGGGTGTCCGATTTCATTATAATCCTAAGTACCTCCTCTGCTCGGGAGCCCCAAGCTCCGACTCCATATGATATTTTATGGAAAATCACATTTCTAAATATCTCTCTCAGGGTGGAACTCTTTCTATTCAAAGTTTTAACACTAAAATTATACTTATAACATTTTTAAATGTTATCTGTGATTCTATGTATATGCTTAAAATGTTTTGCAAAACTTAATTTATTATGAATAATAATTCTTAGATATTTCATATTTTCACCAAATTTGATACGATTACCCTTAAATTCCAATTGTGGGTGGTCTAGTCTTTCTCCCACCCCGAGGGGAAAAAATAGTCCAAAAGTTTTTTCATTAATAAAATATATTTTCTCTCTGTCACTCCATTCTTTCAAATAATTTTCTACTTTTTAAACACTTTCTCCCTTTTTTCAAGAGAGTCTCCCTCCACCATAACCAATATATTTTTGGCATAACAGATAATCTCATAATTTGAAATATTAACTTTCTGCAGTAAGTCATTAACAATGAGGCCACAGAAACAGAGGAGAGCTGCAAGAGCCTTGGGGGCATCCTTTGTAAATGTCAAAAACCAGGTTCAGATTATCAGATGAACCCTTAAAAACCATTTTTTGCCTTTTAACGTAACTTTTTATAATTTCATACATATTCTTAGTAATTATGTTATTCTTAGTTACTATTCTTAGCAAGTATACGTGAAATTTTAATGAATGCGATTGTTGCTGCCTTTTATGTTTCAACGGTTTGGTAACACTAGATTGTTGATTCGAAATCAGTGACTTTAATGATAAAATTTTATTTCTTTGAATGTTCAGAAAGTTAAAGATACTCTGAGTCAAACTTCAGATGCACCATTTTAAACTGTCTTTCAAGGTTACTTTTCTTTGGAGTTGCTATATTTTTGTTGTATAATAAGCATGTATGTGGTATATAGAGAACTATCGATGTGTATATCATAATCGGACTTTAAGCTGGCACTGTGCCAAGCTTCGAAGTGCACCAGTAAGAAGAAAAGTACTGGAATGCGAGTAGCTGTAAATATAAGTGTGTATGCGAGTAATGATATATTTTGTATGTATAATAAAAGTAGCATGTAGTTTAAAAGAGTGTATCTTGTGAAATAATTACCCACTAAAGGATACAAGACAGCTGGTGAGGAGGATGTGTGATTTTTTTTTTTTTTTTTTTTTTTTTTTTTTTTTTTTTTTTTTTTTTTTTTAATGTGCCTAATGCAATTTCAATAAGGATTTGGGGGATTCCTTGAAGACGGCTCAAGGTAAAACTTTTGTAATATTTTTTTCTTTCGGAAGATCCTGGAGCAGCCTGTAACTGAGTTAATAGCACAGAATAGAGCTCTAACTTTCTTCAGTTATTACTCCACAAATGGACAATTCGAAGCTTTCAGTTTAGTTTGAAAAATATAATGAACACGAAGAACAATTTGATTCGTTTCTAGAGAGATTCGAAAGTTATTTAGATATACAAAATGTTTCACAGGATAAGCGTGGAAAGTACTGATTTCTAGTTTGTCCGGAAAAATATATAGTCTCTTAAAAAACTTGCTGGCTCCTGATAATTCTTCCAATAAAGATTATGATGTGTTAAAAACAGCATTAAGAAATCATTTAAATCCTAAGCCACTTATAATTCCTAGTAGACATATATTTTTAAATCGAACGCAGCACGAGGGGGAAACAATTAGTATATATAACTGAGTTAAGGTCACTTGCCATACCGGGTGCTCACGGTCAGAATATGTTAAATACAATGTTGCGGAATGTATTTGTTAGTGGGATAAGAGATAAGGCTATTCTGGATAGAATTTTGAGCAGGATAATATCAGTTTAGATGACACTTTAAAAATAGCTTTGGCAATGGAAAAAAGTGCAAACTGTTTAAAAGTTGCAAACGAAATAATTGGGAAACCAGTGGAAATTAAAGAATTTTGTGCCAGGAATAAAGGTAAATCTAAGTCAGTCGCTCCAAAACAAAAGTGTGAAAAACAAAACTTCGCAGCTAAGAGTGCTAAAGGCAAAATGTGTTCGCAATGTATGGGGACTGATCATGATAGAAATTCTTATAAATTTACGACAAATACCTGCAGATTTTGTAAGATAATTGGGCATATAGAAAGGGCATGCTACAACGCTAAAAAAATGAAAGCGAAACAAAAACAATTAGATGTAGGAAATGAAAACACAGATGAGGGGTTCATACGTCCACTTCCAGCTCTCGTGATTTACAAGGAGCCTGATAAGAGTGGAGTTCCAGAACCATTCAAAGATAATAGCCACAGGGCAGATGATTCTGTGTCGTCCTCCGAGCCCAAAGGTTGTACGATATGTTCCAACTACCGGACCTGCTGCTGATACAAACAGGTTACCAAAAACACCAGCAGTGCCACAACCTTAGTGTCGGTCCAGTAGAATTCGACGTCCCCCAGATAGACTGCAGTTATGATAAAGGGGGAGGGATGTGGTATATCGAGAACAATCGATGTGTATATCATAATCGGACTTTAAGCTAGCACTGTGCCAAGCATCGAAGCGCGCACAGTAAAAAGAAAAGGACTGGAATGCAAATAGCTGTAAATATAATTGTGTATGTGAGTAATGATATATTTTGTATATATAATAAAAGTAGCATGTAGTTTAAAAGAGTGTATCTTGTGAAATAATTACACGACAATATATATTTGTCATTATAATTTATAAAGCAAAACTTGTGCTCCCACTCTTCATTAAAATTGTAAATGTGCGCTAGCTTAGCTGTATTCATTGTGGATTGTAAGAAAACACCTGAATGATTTGAGGGTAAATAAATTTAACAAGAAAGGAACAACAGAGTATATACATACTACATACTTTGTAATTATTGATTCCACTGACTGCCTAGAAGTCGGAAATTTGCAGTATATTTAAAAATTAATCAAAATTGTCACAAACAGACAGCCAAAGTAGACAAATGTCTTGTTTTGCATCTGCTATGTCTTTCTGCCCGTACGTACTGGCAATTACATCAGAGCAGTTACTGTTAAATGCATCAACCATGCCGTCACATCTTAGGCCAACTTATGACATGCCATATGCAGTGTTGTTGCACAAAGAAAAAAAAAAAAAAAAAAAAAAAAAAAAACTGTCAGAGAACAAAATGAAATGTGCATTTTTATAGATCAAGTGAAACCAGCAAGCTTTTACTTGGTGGGAACATTAAAGGCAAAGTGCACCAGTCAAAAAGACTCTTAGATATCCACCAACACCCAATGCTCTTTAAGCGAGCAGAAACTTACACAAGACAAAATCGGGCATATATTCATTTCTGTGCCCATTTTTTGACATAATCACTATGGCAGAGGTACAAGCAGCAGTTTATCTCTCTTTCTACAGGTTGCAACCTGCTGCAACTTTCCTATGACTGTAACTGTAAAAGAACATGCAACTGTATGGCTGTTGCCTTACATTTGTATATACTGATCTCTGCGTGATGGCATTTCAATTAAGTTTTCATAGTATATTTACACATATGTAATAAACTGATATGCAAATAAATATTTCTTCAACTACAATGTTCTACATTAAGGAAGATGATGCTTATGAATAATTGTATGGGAGTTGATGTTCATGGATAACTGTTCACCTAACCCCATCATCCTCAAATTAAATATCACAAATACTGAAAAATAACCTAAATATTTTTTTTGAAAAACAAATGAACTTTTAAAATCAAGAAGCATAACAATATACAAATACAACAACTTACCTGACAAATCAATCAATTCACCCTTCAATGTCACAACCCTATATCTTGTACTACTCTGCAAACCTACTCTAGTAGCTTGTTCAAGATCCTTTGCTACAAGGGTATTTCTTAAAGCAAAATAGAAAGCAGGTAGTACATCTTTATCTTTGACCGAAATCAGATCAAATAAACGAGGTACATTTTCTGGGCTGTAAAAAATAAATAAATAAATATATATATATATTGCATTCTATTTTGGGAACCTGTAAACATTCATAAATTAAAGATAAACATTATTTTGAAGCTTAAACCAAGAGCAATTTAAGTGAACCTGATCAACAGGCACACGTGAAATAAAAATGCCTGAAAACTTAAAAATAAAACTCCCTTCATTTTTAAGTTAGCATGTTGATGCAGGCATGATCCACCAGCGGGTCATACTTGTCTGTTCCACAGGGTGGCATGACCCACCGGTGGGTCATTCTTGATTGTTCTGCGGGCTGGTATGACTCACCGATGAGTCACACTTATATATCAAAAAATATGTAGTAGAAAATTTTATTTTATTTTAATTATTCAACACTATAATCAAACATGCAATATAAAATAAATAACTTGAAATGGAAATTATAAATTAAATATAATTATTAATTTTTTCTAAGCAATTTTTTAAAGCAGGCTAAATAAAGTGCCGGCTTGCTCTTACAATTATCACAGTATGTTGTTACTATCTTTGCTCTAATCGTGGCGTACTGAGTAACTTTTAGGCTTGTTAAGCGTTTATAACATTCTTTGTATTGCTTTGTCGCAGATCCTTTGCACGAATTAAAAAAAATTTTTTTTTTCTTTTTTGTTATTATTACTTTACTAGGGGGATTCACAACATCTGTCAACAGATGATCTATAATTTTTTCTGTAAATTAAAAAATTTTGATATGCATAGTTCCCCATCTTTTGTGAACATACCACACATTCAAAAGAGAAGTTCTGCATATCAGCTGTATAACAGTTTTCCTGTACCACTTCACTGTTGTCTGTAAACAATTATAATATGAAGTTATTTGGTCAGATAGATCAACCTGCTCCACGAAATGAACCACTAATTCAAACGCTGCTGCACGAAAAGAACAATGAATACACGTACCACCGTCAACGTGTTAAAGAGCCAGGGTTTGGTGAAACTTGATGAGCCATATTCACATAGGAAAGCAGAACTGGAAACAAATGCTGTTGTATGATAGCCATCAAGATCATCATGGTGGACATGTTGCACAACTTCCCCACATTCACCTGATTTATCTAGCATTGATTTTTTTCTGTAAGGGATTCTCTAGGACACTGAATGAAATGTCCATTGCTATTGACATAAACCTCATGAAAAAACTGCTGCTGCTGATCCACAAGACACCAGGTATCTGAAAATATTTGGCATTCAATGCTCCATCAGTGTCAAACATGCATCACTGCAGATGATCAGTATTTTGAACACTTCTCGTGGAATTCTATTCTGCACCTACCAGCTGTTGCACTGTTAAGTTTTGCTTAATAAAGAGTCTTACATTGCTTTGTCTTTGTGCTTCTATATCCTGCAGGTAGCATGTCAGATCACAATTTCTTATGTAAATATATTTCACATTGACATTCTCTACTTTACTTCAAAGTTTGTATATGAGGTTTACAGTCCCTCTGAATATATCACAGTAAAAATAACTCATCTTGTGATTATACATAACTATAGGCTATTATGTATAATCACAGATCGTCTTGGTGAATTTGATAAATTTTGCAGAAATGTTTACTTTTATCAGCAATTTTATATAATTTCCTAAACATGCCAGAATTTCACCCATTTACTAGAAGTTATGTATAAATTCCAAATGAATTAGTTTCGCAATTGTATATAATATTTGATAAGTTTTATTAAGTACAATATACCATATTTATTATTACAAATGAAAAGTATGCATAACCAGTGACAAATATAATTTAATTGACATTTTACTAAATAATTATATTAAACTCACTAAAATGATTGTGGATTATTCATAATAATTGGAAATTATACATGATCAAATTAATCACTTTTTACTATAACAAATCTACATTAAAAATATACTAGCACATAACTGAAAAAACTGCAATTACATATAATCATAAAGTAAATAAAGATGAAAGAGTAAATAGCCATATAATTCTAATATTTTCTATACCTAAGCGTATAAATTCAAGAAGTGAATTAATTAGGCAGTTATTCTTCCTGAATGATATTTCATACTGAACCATCCATCAAGTAAATCATGCTTATAAACATTTTTATAATTAAGTTAAAATACTTTAGAACGGATAATATCATATACAGTTATTTACACTATTCAGAAGTATTAATAACAAAAATATTTTTAATATAAATGTGTTTTAATATGTTTTGATATAAAGCAAACTTGAATTTAGTTATTTAAAAAGAATACTTTTAAGCCCCATATTTAAGAAGAATATATATATATATATATATATAAAGAATTATAAAAAGATTATTTATACTATAAAAGGCATTGTTTTGCTAGAAATTCAGTTTCAATCTACAAAACATTTTAAAAACCAGGCAGACAACCAAGAAAGTTTATGTTCAAAATTTTTCATACAGTTAAAATAAAGTAAAAGGAGACAAAATACTTTAGGCTGACACAATGGAATCCCATTTAAATATAAATTGAAGTAAAGAAGCTTTTAGAGATAGTCAGTCTATTTTGTCAGCTGAAGCATGAATGGATGGTTTGATTAAGTTTTTCATCTTTTATAGGTTTCTGCAGGGTTGTTGCTGTACTACAAATTGCTGTACGTCCAGATTGAAGAGACAGTGTATTTTGCAACGTGTTTTGGTGGTGATATCAAGCACTTGTTTTTTTTTTTTTTTTTTTTTTTTTTTTATTGAAAATTTTAAATCCTTGTGCACCACATAGTATTACACAAGGCTTACAGAGGTAAGTAAAACAAACAAACAAACAAATACAACAACACAACACAAAATAAAATAAACTTACAAATTCACAGATGATACGTAAGAGATAAATTTACAAAAAAAAAAGAGAAATCCATTTTATGTTGGACAAAAACATGAAGAGGGGGAGGAAATGTAATATTCACAGAGTTTAACTTAGAAATGAGTTCCTTTCGTCCTTCCTTGAGCTTTGAACAATAGAACTACAAATGTTCAACATTTTGCACTCCCCCGAAAATACCAAACTGCATGAACACAAGTCTGTACTAGATAATCTAAATCTCTTCAGATATGAATTGAATTTACCATGTCCAGTTAGAAATTGAGTAAGTTCAAAATTGCAGAAAAAGTGTTTATTATTCAGTCTGTGAGGAATGGAAGGAAAATATAGTTTAGTCAAAGAGGCAGTAGTAGAATTCCTGTATAGTTCATTCCACTCGAGTATTGTATCATCCCTACTTTTGTTCTTGTAAAAATGACTTAGGAAGTATCATTGGAGTAATTACTTGAAAAGATGTGTAGCTTGTTTTGCCAACCAATCAGCCCGTTCATTTCCTAGATTGCCAGTGTGGCCACGTACATGAGAAAAGATAACATTATTTATAACATTATTTATTTAGAACATAAACACCTTTATTATTAAGGTCTTTAAGAAGGGCATGGGAAGTCACAATTAATTTATTATATGAGAAGATATTCCTAAGAGAAAATAAGGATGAAAGAGAATCAGTGCGAATAAGAAATTTAGCACTTAGCGAACAGTTGTTAGATATCCACTTAATTAACTCACTAATGCACAGTAATTCAGCTTGGAAAACACTGCATTCATTGGGAATTCTAAAGAGTTTGTATTCCAGTTCAGAACCATTATGGAAAACGACATAAGCTAATCCAACTCGATTATTAATTTTACCGCCATCTGTATAACACACAACAGGGAAATTATCATCAACAGAATTGTCATAAATGATAGTTTGAATTGGCAAACGATTGGCAGGATGAGGAAGATCTTCAAACAACACCTTGGCATCGAACATAAATTTGCCGATGGTATCTTTAAACTTTTTGTCATTCAAAACATGAAGGTCAATCAGAGGAAATCCTGAAATTGCGAAACAGGCTTCATAGCTAATTGTTCTGTAGCCACGCACAACTCTTAGTAAAATTCTTCTTTGAATTCTGCGAAGTATACGGGAATTAATCTTCTTTTCTAAAGCTGTTCCCCACACTCTAGAAGCATAGCAAATAAAGGGGACAATACCCTGCTTATAAATCATATCAATAACATTAAATTTTAAACCAAAAGTATTGCAAGAAACACGATTAAGTCCTCTAAGTATATTTTCACACTTATTGGATAAATACATAATATGATATTTCCAACAAAACTTATGATCAAGAATAACGCCTAAATATTTAATTTCATTCACCGTTTCGAGTAAGGTATTATCCAAGTACAGTTGTTGGTTTGTATAGCTGACATGCTTTCTTTTAATTATCATAATTTTAGATTTATTAGGATTTAATTCCAATTTCTGTTCTCTGGACAAATTGGAAATAATATTAAGGGTGTTTTGAACCGTATTAAAGAGAGTAATGGGACACTTCTCTTGAAAGCAAATTAGTAGATCATCAGCAAAAGCAATTGTTTTACAACTCAGACAATGTTAGAGTCTATTGAGTAGATCATTCATAATTAAATTCCACAATAAAGGTCCGGAAACCGAGCCTTGAGGGCAACCTCTTTCCAAAATGCGGGAGGAAGAAACGTGGCCAAGGAAGAGCAATGCAGATCTGTCATGCAGAAAATCTTTAATAAGGTGGTAAATATTACATGGAATACCAGCTTTCCTTAAAAAAAAACAAGTATCCCAGGCCACAAGGCGTGGTCGAAAGCACCTTTGATATCAAGAAACACTAAAACTGTGTGTAAATTTCTCTTCTTACCTTCGTCCACTATGTCTTTTAAGTACAAAAGAGCATCTTCACAACTCTTATGAGGGGTAAAACCAAACTGTGCTTTAATTAGCAGTTTTTTATTATGCAAGAACCAGGTAATTCTATTAACAAACAGCTTTTCTAGGCATTTTCCTAAACTGGGAAGAAGACTAATGCATCTCAAGTTATCTAAATGCGGGATACGAGGACCACTATTCTTAGGGATTAAAACGACATTCGCTGTTTTCCACAACGAGGAAATGAACCAAGCCT